TCATGAGATTACATCAATAATGCATATGCGTCGGAGTATCGCAAATGTCAAAAGTACAGTGTTTCCATGAAAATTTAGCTATGTTTTTAGCAGTATTATAGGACCATTTCTACCACGCGCATCCAACAATATTGGCGTTCCACAGTTCACTGTATTTTCCTCACACCTCTAATGATTTGACATAACGAAACTAACAATAATTATAATTAATGTAGAGTAATAAGTGATTCGTGAATTCTAAATAAAACAATTATTATATAAAAGTGTAAAAGGAAATGTAATTTATTTCCCTATTTTCTTCTGTAATATCTTCAATTATGATGTTTAATTTCTATAAATAAACCAACTGGTTAGGTGAAACATTGTGATATAAGATTTTATTTATGTGTCCTATGCGTACACTTTAATATACAAAACACCTGGAACATTCTTTAAATAATTGTGGTCGTAGAAATAATTGTGTACATAACTCGTTTGAAAGTGTATTTTATGCTCTTGTCAAATATATTATCCATACAGATTAATCAGACTATTTTTTTACTTAACTTCAGTACATCTCTTACTACTAAAACTATTTTTATCAATGGAAAAAAAGGGCCGTGTTCTCGTATGTTTTGACGCATTTTCGGCCTCAGCCCATCGGATCCCCCCTCTAAATATATATGAATTTTGCTTAGAATTGCTAATCCTACAATTCTCTATTCGTGCTTGCTGACTGGGAAAATAAATACCGAAAATCGTCACTGTCTCCTGGACTATACAATAGATGATGATAAGAACTTCACAACAAATACACTTTTATGAATGGCTAGTTGGGGATGTGGGTCATGCTCTAATCCCTTAAAACCCTATATGCCTCTTATAGCGTCCATTTTTATGATTACCGAGTATATTCGATAAAGTGAGTAAACCTTCAAAACTCCCCTCCCCAAAGATGTAACCAGACAAATGAAATGAATGATCTGAATCTATAATATGTGGAGGGTGGGTTATGCCACGGCACTTAGGCCTCGCTAAGCTGAATGGTACATTATTTTACGTACTTCTAGAAAGATCTACGTATGAAGTTAATATGAAAAATTGTAACTAATTTTATCAATAGGTGCTTGTGAAATAATATGAAATTGCGATATTATAATGAATCATAATATTATTTCTTATCTCTAAATAAATATTCACGTTATTTAAAATATGTTTTTGGGAAACACTTTTGTTGCTAAGTTAGATGAGAATATTTGATTTATTTTTTTTTTATCAAATCATCCTCCTAAAATATGTTTCTCTTCTGAAACTGACAAAATAAAAAATATTTTTTATTGTAAAATATATTGAAAATAGAAATACGAAAGAACACTTTTCGTCTGTGTTTAGTACATTATTTTTCATTTGAATGTGTTTATAGATATTAAAAAAAATTAAATCTGAAATTATATTATTTCCAAGTTTTCTTATAATTAAGATGGCTGCGATCTATAAGAAATTATAATAATTTGGTAGGTATATTCTTGATAACAAATAAACAATGGCTGTCATGTCAGTGTGTCATTTCAACTCCTCTTGACCCCCATTTTATTCAAATTTCTTAAAATCAATAGTCTATGTCCCCTTATAGAGCCTGATTTTTGCTAAAAATTTCAAGTTGATATCATTTTTCGTTTTTGACTTATCGTGCAGACAAGAACACGTGCATCGGACGGACAAAGTAAACCTAATAATACTCTTCACAGACTACTGTGTGAAGTGTATAATAATAGGTTTAAATATCAGAAAAATACTCCATAAAAACACATTTTTTACCTGCCTAATATCTTCATCATATGAATGATTACCTATGACCCATTTGGAAACGAAAAAAAGCAACATAAGTGAAAATCAATTTCCAAGCCAGATCGACACAAATATTTTATGAAAATAGTCTCGTTTTTTTTTAATAGAAGTAGTAGGGTGAGTTGGTTGATTATTTACTGGCGCTTCCATTTTTAAGTGTCCCTGGAGAGGTGGCCATACGAAATATTTTGTAAATATAAAAAATGACAAGTATTCATAATTTATTTAGCAAACATGAGCTGAAGTCATATGAAAATATAAAAATACGCTAAAAGACTGTGGTTCAAAATAATTAGCATTATGCTATTTACGCATACCTATATAATCTTCGAAAGTTACCTGTATTTAAAATTTAATAGATAGATACTAAAAATTATATTCAGAAAAGATGTATTGTCACGTTAATTTATTTAAAACAGTTAATTAATTAATTTATACCTAAAAACTTATATCTATATCAGGATTTATAATCTAATTTATCTAGAGAGAAGGAGAGGGAGAGGGAGAGGAAAAAGAAGAGGAAGAGGGAGAGGGAGAGGGAGAGGGAGAGGGAGAGGGAGAGGGAGAGGGAGAGGGAAAGGGAGAGGGAGAGGGAGAGGGAGAGGGAGAGGGAGAGGGAGAGGGAGAGGGAGAGGGAGAGGGAGAGGGAGAGGGAGAGGGAGAGGGAGAGGGAGAGGGAGAGGGAGAGGGAGAGGGAGAGGGAGAGGGAGAGGGAGAGGGAGAGGGAGAGGGAGAGGGAGAGGGAGAGGGAGAGGGAGAGGGAGAGGGAGAGGGAGAGGGAGAGGGAGAGGGAGAGGGAGAGGGAGAGGGAGAGGGAGAGGGAGAGGGAGAGGGAGGGAGAGGGAGAGGGAGAGGGAGAGGGAGAGGGGAGAGGGAGAGGGAGAGGGAGAGGGAGAGGGAGAGGGAGAGGGAGAGGGAGAGGGAGAGGGAGAGGGAGAGGGAGAGGGAGAGGGAGAGGGAGAGGGAGAGGGAGAGGGAGAGGGAGAGGGAGAGGGAGAGGGAGAGGGAGAGATTAGGGAGAAACATGATTAATTTTAACAATCTCAATTTTTAAAAATGACATACAATTTTTAAGATAATTTTTAAAAATTACAAACAATTTTATTAAGTTTATTTATAAAATTTGATAAAGTACGTAGTTTTTTGTTTATTTTTTCATGATTTATATTTGTAAATTATAACACTTTAAAATAAAAAAACAAAATAAATATATTCTTTATTTTTCGTAAATTTTAAAATGACATTGGAATTTTATTGAAATTATATACCGCTGTATTTTTTGTTTTTTTCTTGATTTATATAATTTATAATAATATGTAGTACATTATACTACTACCATTTTGTCACTAATTATACATTTAAATGCACTTGCAATTGTTCTTAGAACAAAATAGCTTAAATAAGTAACAGCAAATAGGATTTTCCTAAGCTAGCCAAATTCCTTTTGCTTTATTAAAATCATAATAGTCTTGCATTACAAAAATATTCCTTCTACTGTTTATTTCTATTAAATTGTAAAATAAAATACAGTTTCAGTACATTAAGTTTTCCGCAATGACGGCAGTAGAACGGTATACTTTTTACTTTCCTATCTGTATACAGATATAAGGAAAGTATAGGCATCATGATTTTTTTCGACCTCGAGTTTTCGACGAATTTTTACGTTTTGAGGTCCCCTGAATCCGTTTTGACTATTTTCGCGATGATGTCTGTGTGTGTGTGCCTGTGTGTCTGTATCCACCATAACTCATGAACCGATACACAGAAAAACACCAAATTTTAAACTTAAGCTTTGTTCTAGCGTCCAATGAACTGATTAGATTTTGGGCAGAGTCGGAACATCTGGGGGGGTACTTTATAGGTGGTCATTTTTATATTTTATGGAATATATCTGTTATTTCCGTTTGGGGAAGAAAATTCTTTAAATAAAAGTTACTTCTTATATTATTATCTATAATTTTTGTTGTATACAAAATTTTCCTAAAATGGTCCGTATTCGAGAAATTTGAGAAAATGTAAAAAAATATTTTTTTATAAAAATTGTTCAAATAAAAGTTATTTGTAATATAATTCTCTATAATTTGTATCCTATACATAATTTCTCTAAAATGGACTGTATTAGAGAAATTTGAAAAAATTGTAAATTTTGAAATTTGAAGAAAACTCAAAAACGGATAAAAAAATATTTTATTTTGGCCTGACGTGAAATGATTAGATTTTGGACAAAGTCGGAACATCTGGGGGGTACTTTATGGGAGGCCGTTTTTATATTTTATGGAATATATCTGTTATTTATGTTTGGAGAAGAAAATTGTTCAAATAAAAGTTACTTCTAATATTATTATCTATAAATTTTGCTTTATGTCAAAATTTCCTGAAATGGTCCGTATTCGATAAATTTGATAAAATGTGCAAAATTCTGATTTTTATGAAAATTGTTGAACTAAAAGTTGTTTGCGATATCGATTTCTATAATTTTTGTTTATACATGATTTTTCTAAAATGGACCGTAATGGAAAAGTGCTAAATTTAAATTTTTCTGTATTTTCGTTTTCAATGAATATCTATAGAAAAATATTTCGAGGTAGATGTATGTGTAAAATGTATATATTTAGTTTATCCTCTAAACATTTATAGAGATGCTGCAATAGGTTGTACAAAATAACCGGAAAATGCCTATAATAACTAGATAGGAAAGTCATGTGTTGGACACATCAGATTTTTAAAAATGTACGAGTTAAAAAAACAAATATTCTATTTTTAAGTCGGCATCATATAGGAAACATTTTTATTATTAATTTTATGCAAAAAGGTATTCTCCATAAAAAGTTATGCATGGTCTAGAATCTAAAATACAACTATGTACGAGGTTAGTCGAAATATAGGAATTTAATGCAAGAAAATTGTTTTTAAGAGAAGTTGATCAGAATTGAAAACTACGGTTAGATATCCAATTTACCATTAAAAAAACGATCTTTAATTCATTTTGTCAACTTGTAAGCTCTAAAAAGTGTAGTCTGAAAAATAGTATAGTGTGCAAAGAACCAATTCTTACACAATAGTAATTTAAATTTAATAATGTTATATTTTGTTGTGATCGTTAATCATTTTATTCTACCACTTCCATGAACTACGTCTGCAATTTTAAATGTTAATTCCTTATTATTTTTCAGATAACTGGGATAATTTTAATAGCCGTAGGTGCCTCGATACGCGCCTATTTTGTGGAATATGATTATTTCCTCAACAACCACTACTTCTCTTTACCAAATCTGTTGATCGCCACCGGTTCCTTAATATTCTTTATATGCTTCTTGGGATGCTATGGAGCCATGAAAAATAGCTGGATATTGCTTATGTTGGTAAGTATTTAAAATACAAGTATTGTATTTAAAATACAAATATTGTATTAAAGGGAGCGAAAATATTATGTGAGATTAATAAATATATGCATTCCCAAATTGAGATCAAATAAAAAATTACAAAAAGAACATATTAAATTCGAAATAATATAAATTTTTTTGATTCCCCTCGTAACATAGAAAATAACAATGTGTTAAAAATATACTTAACTTCCGTCTTTGGACCATCTTCGTATTTTACTATTCAAAATGTAATTTTTTTAAAAACTTAATTTTATACTTAATCATTTGTATGGATGTCTGTTAAAATATTTGTTTCTAAGTTTTCAGTTTTTCTGGGAATAATTTTCATCTTTGAATTCTCCGCTGGAATTGCCGGTTATGTGTTAAGGGATAAAACAACCAATTACTTAACAACATCTATGACGGACTCTTTGAGTCAATATTATAAAGGAGTGGACCCAGCGACAGGATTGTGGGACATAATTCAACCAAAGGTAATATTTAATTTCCTCCGTTAATTACCTAAGCTAGCTAGTAAGTACGGTACTAATGAAGACCAATTAAAAATATTTTCAGTTTGAATGTTGCGGAGTCACAGACATGTACGATTGGACCAAAATCGTAGGGAATAATAGTTTACCGATATCTTGTTGCCCTAAAAGTCCTGGTCAGTGGGATACTTTCACTTGTAACGCCAATACTCCGCAACCAACCACAACTGCTGCTCCTCCGGCTGTCCAACAACTATCCAATGGTACCGCGAATAACAGTGTCGTGAGTAATGGTACTCCGAATAATGTTCCTGGACAAGAGATGGAAAGTTCAGCAATAGCAAGTCGTACTCTTCATCGAAAGCGGAGAGCAGCAAACGACACTGGTGAGTATTTTAATATAATATATAAACTAAGTAGATGTATCTGTAATATTATTATTAAACTTAAACGATTAAAAAAATTGCCTATCTAAACTAATATCTCGATGATCTTTGAACTAGTACTAAAGGAAAAACTAATTAAATTTCTAGATAAATATCAAATCTTATCTCACAATCAATATAGATTTAAATCGAATACCTACATCAACTTAGGACGTCATATCGTTTGCTTACAAGCAAAACAAACGAAATCAGATTTGATGAAAACTTCATTGTCATTTAATGTATTTTTCCTGAATAAAATAATGTTATTATTGATTTAATGAATAAGAAATATAGGGGTATAATTCTTAGAGGATATACTGGATTTCACCAGTGTATGAAGTAAATAAGTCCATAATAAAAACAAAAGTTACTGAAGTACTCAATGAAAGCAAGCCATATTTTAAGTATATTTATAGATTTAGAAAAGCCTTTGACACTGTGAGTCATCGTCTACTTTGTCAGTAACTTCAGGATATTTTTCCAGTTGCCTCATTGGGAGGTTTCAAAAAGTTCAAATGGGCGATGAACTCAGCAACAACAAAGTGTGTATGGAGTCCTGCAAGTCTCTGTCTTAGGACTCATACTTTTAAGCATCTATATAAATGGATTATTCAAATTAAAGGCTTATTTCAGGATATTTATAAGAGAAATTACATTAAAAATATGGAAAAAACAAACTAATTACCTTTTAGTTGTTTATAACTTAGAAAGCCATCCAAATTTTAATAAAATATTCATAGCTGGTAGAAATATCGAAATGGCTATTCTAACTGTTAAACAAATAAAATATTTAGGTTTTTTTTTATAGATTCTAATTTGCTTTTGCTATAATAGCGTGCGTGGATAATTTTAAAAAATTATGCACTTTTTAAAACGTACTTTTATTAGAGATTTTTTCCAAGAATAATGATATAAAACAATATTTCCGGTACAACCAATGGTGTAAATTATTATGAGTCACGCATTACCGAAAATGGAATGTTAATTTTTACATCTACTACATCTACAGCTGCGTTTGTTTATCCGAGATGTAGCTATCCAGATTTTATTTTTTACATCTCGATTTGAATTGAGATGTTCGTTCCATGCCAGAAAGTAGGTGTTCTGTGAAGCCAAGATTATTGATTAATCCTTTATTTATGCTAGCGTGAATATAAAAGTTTTTGTTTAGAATATAAATTTAGGTTGATTTCCAGTCTCAAAAGTCAAATTTAGAGAATATAAACGTCATTTTATCACGTGTTTATTACATCTACATTCAGTGATAAAATATTCACATCTCAGATGCATCCGATGTGGACATTCAAACGCGGCATTTACATGTACCAATTGTACGATTGTTTTGTCGAAAAATTGGCTAATATATCATTATTCTATTCTACTTTTTTGAAGTGTTATGAATATTGTATTAGCTTTTAAGACCATATTGTTTATTTATGTGTTGACTAATGGGCGTCATCTTATTTTGTGACGTCCCGTTTTGTGCCGCAAACCTTTTTCAGGTAAAATGTTTTGTGACGAGACAAATTTTTACCTGCAATAAATTCCCGTTTTGTGATGAGCATAAAACGGGACGACACAAAATAGGAATATATATATATATACACCGACTAATGTGCCTTGTTCTTGATTTATTTGTAAATAATTTTAGAAATATTAATTTTTTAATATTATTCTCAGTTTTTTTTTATTCAATTGAAATGTGATGAGGACGATAATGATGTACATAATAATACATTATGAAATACATGCTAATGTTATAAGAAGCTGAGTTTTCAAAAGGAACTGCATTATTATAATAAACAATAAATCAAACTCCTTTATGTGTTCTGGTTTTCCAACAATTTCAAACAGTCAGGGATTTTTGCATGTACGTACACGGTCCGGTTTTAAAACCGTTTTTATTTTGAGAACCAGAACAAACCACTATGTATTAAACTGGAAGAACAAAGCCGATTAACAAAATCTAAAAAGGAACATCAAAATTAAATTTAACTATTATTACATTCAACTACGACATCTTTTACTTTAAGAAAATCACTTAAAAATGATTTTTGATAAATACGCAGCTGAAACAAATGTTCCAACAATAATAATTATTAAAATAGCGCATTATTAATAAAAAATATAACTTATCATCATAGTACGCCCGTGGGAAACGTGACGTAGAATGCTCGAAATTGACAGTGTGGCGTCCAAATTGTCATGCGCACCGACCGTTTTTTTCACCCATGTCGGCTTAGAAATTAGGAGTAGGGTTTATGTCATATAGCCATCTAGTTTAATATCAAGGTCGGTGGAACAAACCTTAGACTAGGTAAAAAACCTACTAGTCTAAGGAACAAACCTATTGAAAGTGAGGTTATAAGTTTTGGCTTTGGACTATGGTGCACAACTAGCTCATAAATGAGTAATACATTTACTTATCATCTGAAGAAGAGAGCGCAGTGTATAATTGTCCGCTCTGTAATGCTAGTATTGTTCCATATTGTGAAGTCTCAAGTCAGGCGCGGATTTGAGATTTTTCGAAAGAGGGTTACATTATTTTAATCCTAGTCGTTATCTGGTTTTATTGCGTCATCGTAAAATCTCGAGATTACAATATAATAATAAATTCAAGAATTTATTCGAACAACTACAGGGGGGATATCTTATTCCCCTCCTTGTATCCGCACCTGTCCCAAGTTGAATATTTGTAATAAAAAATAAAATAAAATGTTAAAAGTTAATGTTTTTTATCAGTAAAGGGCATTTAGCTCACTCTTTCTTTGAGCGTATAGTGAAAATAATATTTGCTTTTATTATAATAGCGTGCTAACACACGAGCATTATTTTTTAAAGTAATGTAGTTTGTAATGTCATGGAAATACTTATGTTTTTACTTTTTTAGTAGATGATCAAAATAATCCCAGCTCAACTAGTGACAAGACCCCAAATAGTAAGTACAACTGCATCTATTATCTCAGTAAAAAACGGTTAAGATTTTATTTGTTAGTAACATTTGTTTCAAGAATAGTACAACTGTCGTTTTTTGTGCATTCATTATTTATTTTTGTTCATAATATCCTAAACATGGTCTCCGCTATTAACACAATAAGGTAAAACAATAAAAACAATATTAGGCATTCCAAACAAAATGTATACCAGTGGGTTATGACAGGTTATGATATGGCAACCCTGTAGGTCTGGAGATTTGACAGGGTTAATGGAATAGATAGTTATATAGATTGATTGTCCATGTTTTTTCAAAATAGACGTAAGCTTATGCCGCAAAGGCTCAAAATTGGTTTTAAAACACATTTTTGCTAAACTGATTCTGATTAATGGGCACTTACGAGGCAATATGGCCACTCGCAAACGACCCGCATTGAGCAATCTACATAACTACATATGTATCATTGACCCTGTCAATAACAAAATGTCCACAGTGTTGTCATATCCAAACTGCCATTACCCACTTGTCAGCATTTTGGCAGGTCGTTGGAATGCCTAATTAATACCTTAGACTAGGTATAAAGAGGACTCGTAACGTTCGCTGGAAATCTTGCTCTATCCTGACACCAATGCTATTTGACCAGAGGCGTAACATGTTGGAATACAACATTAAACTTATTTATGTTATTAGTACTTCATTAATCTTTTTATGTATAAAACAAGTTCAAGGCGTAAAAATTAAAATAAATGGGAAACAATAAATAAGGCGCTTATCTCAACGGGACGGGGCCTGGTGGGTAAACTACAAACTATATTAAAAATTCCTTCAGTACAAATATACAACTCAACGACGGCTACCAATTAAAATTAGTTTCATATATACAGGGTACCCCAAACCAGAATACCAATATAAAGATTTTCTAATCACATCTTTGATAAATTAATTAATAACTTAGCGAAAATCAAGTAGAGAGATAAGTAATTCGGCCAAGTTGATAATACGTTTTAAATAAAATTTCGCCTTTAAAAATTGGCCGCCTTAGGCTATAGCCTAGCTAGCCTATTTAGAAATCAGCCACTGAGAACAGTAAGAACAGTGGTGCAAGGACTTCAAGGACCATTCACTGTCTAGTAATCCCAAGAAGACAAAATTGCCCTTTTCACAAGGAAAAGGATAAAAATGAAATTAAAACCTCCTGAACTCCCAAACACAAAAATAAACTTTGCAACAGAGGTGAAGTACCTAGGTCTCTCCTTTGACAGCAAGTTAACATGGAACTCAAACTTATAAAATGAAGTCAAAAGAACATGCATTGCTTATGAACGATGCCGCATGGCCATCATAAGAGCTATGCTAACATACGGTGAAGTTGTCTGGGTACCGAACACCCAATAATTGAGAGCTATTCGCAAACTATAACAAATTTAAGGAACAGCATGTCTTAGCATAACAGGAGACATGAAAACCACATCGACCAGAGCCATGGAACTAATTCTTAATCTCACTCCTCTTGATATTTACATCAAGGAGGTTGCTCTGAGGACAATGACACGCCTCCGCAAGGTTGGAATAGAATCTGATGAAGGATCTGGTGATGCGGGAAATCGCTATTGCAGGAGGTGCTAGATGCGCTCCTTTAAGCGAACATATACTCCATCTCACCGAGATATGTCTTCCATAAACCGTATAAAGTTATAACAATAAATAGAAGAGCCGGAAGTGGCAGTTACGATTCATATCTATACTGACAGTTCTAAATCAAAACAAGGCTCAGGATGTGAAATATACTCCAGATTCTTAAACCTAAATATAAAATTGGCTGTGAGCAATAAACAAGCACTACTCACCCCGAGCAGACCACGAATTTATTCAGCGTTAGTACTATAGAATATCACGAAGCTTTGGCCGAAGTATTCAACAATGTGGTTACCTTTTAAAATATGCTGACAACACTACAGCAAGTAAAAAACTTGACTATCACTAGACAGAATCTGCGCCTGGTCACAGGCATTCTGACTAATCATTGCCAAGTACGGAAGCGTATGTCAGAATCAGCACTTTGCACTATTAGAAGATTTGTGTTCGGCGAGTATCGGCTAATACCGGCCGATATAAGAGGAGTACGTTGTCAACTACATTAAATCTGTAGGCCGGCTCACGAGATAGGAGGTGCCTATCATCTTAGGAGGATGCACAATGGGTCTAGTGAGGCCTAAGTGCCGTGTAGCGTGTAGCCCACCCTTCATAGGTTACAAAGGAGGGGGAGACAATCTACAAAAAAATTTGGGTTTAAATATGTCCTGACATTATGCGAAAAAAGGGCGGGAGCTCCGTCTATCTTCAAAAATTAAAAAAAAATCTTTTTTTAAATGGCCATCAAAAAATAGGGCTTCACCAAGTATCTTCCTATCATTCCACCATAAACGTTTAAAGACCATCAGTTCGAAATTCATGTTCATTTTCGGGAAGTAGATTTCAGTAAAGAATATTTGATAAAAGTTAATATTTAGAATTGTACGACACGCCACTGGAAATATTGCATTTTTGGCAATTTTAATATTATTAGTTGCTTAATGGTTATTTAACGAACAAGTGTATTAATAAGGGCGATTAACAATCGAGATAATTTAACGCACGAGCAGAGCGAGCGCCTTAATGTTCGAGATTGTTAATCGGTATTTTAATTCACGAATTCGTTACAGAACTTTTCCGTTAACCGTACTTTTCAAAAATAAAAATATTTTACTTTCAATTTTCATTTATTTAACGAAAAACAACAAAACTATTTTAAGAAATTAAATAATGACATACAATGACAGATAGTATTAACACATCTTCTTGATTTCAAATGTATATGTATGTTTGGTTGCCTACACCACAGGTAACATTCAATATAAATGTATAATAAGAGCAATGTACGTTGGGTTGCATATAATAAAATCGTTGATTAATAGAAAATCATTCATTAATAGGGGTCATTTAGTAAAAATACATCATAAATGGTCGGTAGACGGAAAAAATTAATAAAAAGCATAAAATACACAAACTTGGCAGGTAAAATTTTATTACTCTGGAATGAGACATGTAAAATATATAAATACCAAACTCTATAATAAATAAAATGAAAAATATAAGAAAATATGTAAAGTATACATGATTCACGTTTATTATTTACCTGTGAAACGTTAATATTTGGTTATTTCTTGTCGCAACGACTTTTACATTGATATGCAACTCAATAAACCATTGTAACAAAATAATTATCAAATGTCGTTTAATTCAAAAAATACAAATTAACATGAGTAAAAAGCTTTGGTGCAGCCGAAATGCTAATAATGGCGACCAATAGATAATCGGCACAGAATACTACGAATACTTGATATACTTGTTACGCGTCCTCTCTCTTTTTTTGTCTAAGATTAATACTAATAAAAGAAACAAGTGCATTTGGAACACCTACATATCCAAAGAAACAACCAACTGAATCCTAAGAAAAATTTTAATTCTAAACTAAAAATAATATGAAGAATACTAACAAATTTATTGATAAAAAATCATCAACAAAATCATACAATATAGCAATTAACAAAAAAAAAAAAAATAAAAGGTACTAATATTTAACATTCAAGAAATTAAAATGTAATCTAAGTATATTATTTTATTACTTTAAATAAACTATTACAGACTGTAACGATCTTCTGTTAGCCTACATGATTTAATCCTAATAATAATAATTTTGAAATTTTTTTTTGAGAATTTCCAAAAAAACAAGACCTGATACAAGTTTAGTAGACAACTGACCTTAGTCCGAATACTAAGCCACAATGGCCATGATTCAGTCTACATATTTTTGAATTACAAAAGCTTTGTAGCGAGAATTCATTAAACAATGGACGCACCAAGACTTAGAAACAACCATGCAGTATCGATACAGGTTAAAGAGTTCATTAAAGTATCGTTGACCAAATTCAGGAAGGATCTAAATTGTCCAAAAAAAAACGACAAATTGTTAGGATAATAATAGGCTTGCTTACCAATAAGAAACTTATGCGAAAAAGAAGAGTAAACATTAGTCAACACCGTTGGTCATTTGCCTCTGTAAAGGATTAACTATATTAAGATATAAAATCCTAGGAAAAAAAGCCAAAAAGTATGTAAATGCATGCTGGAGTCATCGCCAAGACTTAAAAAAAGCAGACTATGAGCTCTAAATATATCTGTAAGGGACGTGCTGGACGAGATCAAAATCTAATCTAATACTCCTTTCTACAGCTAGTCCAGAGACCAGCACAGATACCATCCCAATAACGACAACAGAGAAACCCACACAAACAACTACTACTTCTACTACTACCACTACCACCACTACCACCTCTACCACCACTACCTCTACTACCACCGGTAAGATTTTGTTTTACTGGAAACATATTTATTGTCTTGTGAACGAAATGCAGGGTTTTAAATGTATACAAAGAAAATACAAACTTTCCATTAGCTGGGTCACTAAGCTTTTGCACCTACACACAGTCTGTTGTTTGTGAAAACTAAGCACTGCACTAAATCTAAGCGTTTGGTTCTATTTAGTTCAGCCTTCTAATTAGATTTAGGTTTAGGTTGATGAGGCGATGCATCAGCCGAGGTTTGTGGATAATGGTATGCGATGTCATTAAGAATGGTATAGCAGCTTCCCAAATATTCTCCAGTATTGAAGGAATAAGTTCCAGGGGATGAGATCAGGAAAAGTACTTCCAAGTTCTTATTAATGGCTTACTTGATCAATTCTACCAAATAGTATCTAGGTTAACAGTGATCAGGGCCGCCGAGAGCCAGACCGGGCCCCAGGACAATTCTCCAGACCGGGCCCCGCAACAATTTTATAGCAAAAATTTCTCCTCCTCTTCTTGAATTTCTCTAAAAAAAATGTCCTCAAGCAAAAATGAATCCTCCTCTACTTGAATTTCTCTAAAAAAAATAGTCTTCAACTAAGAACGTCCCCCTCTTCTGTCGTACTTCTGAAAAAAGTAACAAACACCACCGCTGGCCGGGCCCCCCTTGTGTCACTGCCGGGCCCCTATTTGAGCCCGGGCCCCAGGAATTAGTCCCGGCTGCCCCCCCCTCTAGTCGGTCCTGATAGTGATACCAACTACAGTCTAACAAACAATAAATTAAGTTTGTCATCAAAATTGCTTATTGTCTTCATTTTTGCTTATTGTTTTTATTTTGTTGCTTAAATAAACATTTGACTGTAAATTTGACAAATGCTTTTGTATCAACTGTAGTCTGCTACTGTATATGTTGAAGAATCATGACAGGTTATAAAAGTCGTAAATCAAGAAATTTGTTAAAAAATATGATATACGTTTAAACATTAATAATACTACATTTTAAAATAAAAAAAAGTGAAGAACATATTATTCGAAATATAACAATATAAAACCATTAAATTAGTGATTAGGAGCTTCAAAACATTTAAAAAACTACACAACAACTATAAATTCGTTCAAATTCTTTCAAATTCATTCAAATTCATTCAAATTCATTCAAATTCTTTCAAATTCTTTCAAATTCTTTCAAATTCTTTCAAATTCTTTCAAATTCTTTCAAATTCTTTCAAATTCTTTCAAATTCTTTCAAATTCTTTCAAATTCTTTCAAATTCTTTCAAATTCTTTCAAATTCTTTCAAATTCTTTCAAATTCTTTCAAATTCTTTCAAATTCTTTCAAATTCTTTCAAATTCTTTCAAATTCTTTCAAATTCTTTCAAATTCTTTCAAATTCTTTCAAATTCTTTCAAATTCTTTCAAATTCTTTCAAATTCTTTCAAATTCTTTCAAATTCTTTCAAATTCTTTCAAATTCTTTCAAATTCTTTCAAATTCTTTCAAATTCTTTCAAATTCTTTCAAATTCTTTCAAATTCTTTCAAATTCTTTCAAATTCTTTCAAATTCTTTCAAATTCTTTCAAATTCTTTCAAATTCTTTCAAATTCTTTCAAATTCTTTCAAATTCTTTCAAATTCTTTCAAATTCTTTCAAATTCTTTCAAATTCTTTCAAATTCTTTCAAATTCTTTCAAATTCTTTCAAATTCTTTCAAATTCTTTCAAATTCTTTCAAATTCTTTCAAATTCTTTCAAATTCTTTCAAATTCTTTCAAATTCTTTCAAATTCTTTCAAATTCTTTCAAATTCTTTCAAATTCTTTCAAATTCTTTCAAATTCTTTCAAATTCTTTCAAATTCTTTCAAATTCTTTCAAATTCTTTCAAATTCTTTCAAATTCTTTCAAATTCTTTTAAATTCTTTCAAATTCTTTGTACTGTTGCATTGCTAAAATTGTACTAATATGCAGAATTCAATAAAAAACGGGACATCACGAGTTTGCGATAAGACAAGTAGTCAAAAATATTCGGAATATGTGTCTCTATTTCTACGTGCACCCAATTGAAATTGATTTCCAGTAAAACAAAACCGATCTGTATACCAATGCAATTATTTCTTCTTTTTTTTTTAGATTCAACTACACCTCAATCGACGACAGTAGCCCCTGCAATTCCAGTACCTTCTACAATGCCACCCTACAGAGTAGGCTGTGCCAAGGCTTTTGGTAGTTGGGTGAAGGCTCACGCCGTTGATATTGGAGCAGTTTGTTTCACCTTAGCAGTCTTGCAAGTAAGCTATATATAGTGACATGACTAAAATTACTAACTATATATACATAATATGAAGTGATCCATCATTTTTTTAAAGTAGGCCTTGGAATAAACGAAAAATCATTTTGAAAATTGAAAATTTCAGAAAATCTAGCTCTGTATGGGGGACGAAGCCTATTGATTTTGAAAAAAAGTTTAATAAAAATGGGGAGGTTAAAAGGGAAAAAATCCTAACTCAAAAACGTAAAATTATATCAAACTCTATAAGAAGATCACGCCGATTGATTCTATGAAAAATCTGAATAAATTGGAGGGGTTAACTTCTAGAAAACATTTAGAATACAAAATAACTGTTATACAAACTTTGGTAGATACTTTTAACATAAAAAATATTTATTCTACGACTGGCACAGGGCCCTTAAATACATAGCGGCCTTTAGAATCCATCTCAAAGTCCGGAACATCTGTATTCATAATCTCATGCATTGGGACGGTGACTTGATCAGTCTTATGGAACTTGAAAGTCTTCTTCTCCTTATCTACAGAGCGTAAATATTTAACAAAACACTCTTCTGAATCATATATTTCTTTGATTGCTTCTAGGTAAATTTTCACAGTTTTTTTGGTAGATTCATACTTGACTAGAACTAAATCCCCTGGTTTTCTTGGCCCAACTGAAGCTTCAGAAGGATCTTCTTTATTATTGGAGTTAGGAACTTGATCAACTGTTTCAAACGAACAAATACCAGTTTCTGCAACTTCCAAAGTTATTGATTTGTTTGGTTTAAGAATGGATCACTAATTTCCAATTCTGTTTCGAGATGGATTGGTAGGTCGTCTATTTTAAACTCTGTTTCAGTAGGTATTTATTCTCCAAAATCTTCATCAGATTCATCAATGCAAATATTAAATGGCAGTTCTTCCTCATCAGAGGATGATGACAATTCAAACTTCGATTTTTTCTTTTGATTCTCTTTTGTCTTCTTTGGTTTTTTATCCTTGGCTTTCTATTCCTTTTTTGTTTTTTGTTGGCGGACCACTCTGATTATGGGACGAAATAGTTGATAGTAGCAATTATTCGAAAGTATTGAGAGAGTTCTGAACCTGCTCTAGGTTGCTTCCCGATGAGGTAGCATCATGACTTTGGACGGCTTTAATCTGGTCATTTTTGTCTTTTTCAAAACCTGCAACCATATTAGTTTTAGGTGGTAAGAGATGATCAATTTCGGATGCTTCAACTTTGTCCATTTCGGGTGCTGCAACTTGGTCCAGTTCGGGTGCTGCCATTTGATCAGTTTCGAGCTGCAATGATTTCCATCGTTCCAAAGATAGTAGTTCTTCAGGAATGCTATATTTATTAAACGGAAAGATGGCAGCTTTCCTGAATCCATTTTTAATAATGTCCGTATCGAAGTTTTTCCATAGTTCTACTATTTTTGTCGTCATTGATCGTTTAGAAATTTTCTGACAGCCTTGTTGTCTCAACCTTTTGCAGAGATACTCATCCCAGGATGATTTAATGGACTTGAAAACTGCCAGATCGAGGGGCTGAAGTAGATGGCTTGAATGAGGAGGCAGTAAAATAATTGCCACGTGGTTCTTCACAGCCAATTCCACTAATTTTAAACCAATGTGAGTTGCATGACCGTCGTAGATGAGAAGAACGGGATTACTAGGGGACGGCTTTGCTGCTTTTACAAAGGAATGTTCAAAATAATTCAGGAATACAAAAGATTCCATCCAGCCATTTTGAATAGCGGCAAATGTTGAATCAAGAAATCCTTCATCTTCGTTAGGAACCCATTGGTTCCAAACGTTTTTTTCTTTTGAAAATAAACAATGGAGGACACTTGTCTCCAGTTGCACTACAAGCCAGTAGGACAGTGGTGTTTTCTCTGCCAGGGCCACTAACAGTTCTTGTAGCAGGCAGTCCTTTTCCTTCTACTATTTTAGTTTTAGACGGATCGTGACTAAATGCCGATTCATCAAGGTTCCAAACATTTTTTGATTCAATATTGAGTTCTTCCAAAGTTAGTTTTAGTTGGTCAAAATAATTGAATATGACAAAAGGATCTTGAGCTTTTTTTCGGGCAACTTCCACATTTTGCGGTTTTTTAATGCTTAAGCGTTGTCTTCCTTAAAACCTGACCACCACTCTTCTCCAGGAAAGTTATTCTTGAACGGGTTTGGGATCTTTTCTTTAATTATGTAATCGCTCACCAGTTGTAAAACGTTTTTCTTTGACAAGCCGTAGCCGTATTTGTCCATTAGTTTAATGAGTCTATCCAATTGATCTTCAGTTTCTGAAGATAAAGCTGTCGGTCTCTCAACTGTTTTTGACTTCACACCCTTTCTGTTTTTAACATGGTCAGTTATGATAGCTTTTGGAATAGAATATCTTTCTGAAGCCTCTTTCAATGTCAGTCTTTTAGATTTTACGCCATCAACTGCATTTTGGAGGTCTTGAGGGGTATAATTTTGGCCTTTATTCGTTTTTCTTTTGTAATTGCGCAACCATTTTGGCTCTAAAAATCAAAACAAAAGCACTTTCATAAAATAATTTAAAAACAGCGCCAAAATTATACAAAAGGGTAAGTGCATACGCGTCTGCACTTTCCCCATGGTGTAAAAACGCACTTGCCTCTTAACCTATTTTGGAGGGGAAAGAGCATATTTCCTAATTTTATGCCTAATATGATTAAACATTGTGAAAACAATATCAAAAATTAAAAACACTATTTAAAATTAAGCTGCTTACCATATTTTGAAAAACAAAAATTCACTTTAGAATGGAAAAAAAGTAAAATAAACGGAGCACCACATGTGTCGAATGAGATCTAAATTGAGACTGTTTTGACAAATGCACAAAGCTTGGTCACGCGAGACCCAGTGTAGCCAAACTAATTATCACACTAAAAAAAAGTATCCAAGGAACACACAAAAATATCCACTGCTGCATAAAATGAACCGTTATTATTATCAGAACAGGAAAATGCACTTCCCCCGAATACGCAATATCCCGAGTTGACCTTATATTATTTAACAAGTACGTAATTTATTCCGATTGAATTATAACTATTACGTGCTACTCAAATACTATGTTTTATCTACGATAGTTGAGACATGTTCTTACTTATAGCGAACGTTTACATTACTTATTCTTCTTATTTTTTTTACAGCTAATTGGAATTGGTTTCGCCTGTCATTTATCTCAGCAACTCAAGAAGTCCTACTACAGCACGTAAACTATTCAAATCTAGCTAAATAATACCTATTTAAGCATCCAAGAGCGTAAAAGATATAACAAGGGCGTAAATGACTTTTATTATACAGGGTGATACTTAAAAAAAAAAACTCAAAAATAAATTTACATTAATTTATTCGAACATATATCCAATGCGGTCCTGTCTAAATTAAATAATGTGTAGAACTTACTAAATAATTTAAATATACTAATTCAGATAAACATGCTACTGAAATCACATTCGGCTGAATTACATTAACCGGTACTCAAATTAAATTGTGATTCATAAGAAAACTCAAAAAAGAAAAGAGACTTATTATTTAACGTAACTTTTCATATACAAGTCCAGGACCGGATTTAGATGTTTAATTCTGTATCATCCTTATTTATGAGTTTTTTGATAAAGATATTTGAACAATTATCATCTTAGGATTCACCCTGTACACAGATTTAGAATTTCGACTTTCATTTATGCTCTTGTAGTATTATAATTGTCATTTCCGAGTCCATTAGTACCTAATGTAAGTTACGCTCGAGATACATACCAACTTTTATCTACGACTATAAGGTATAAATATATCGTTAATGATACCTATAATACAGAAAAATAAATAAAATTCCAACTGAGATATTCTAAATTGCATATATTTCAATGTAGCATTACTATATCATGTTTATGTCAAAAATTTGAGAAGTAACCTATATGTATAGACCTAATGACATAACCTGGTCATGGTCATAGATTAAAATGTTGTTCACATATTCATATTTTTATACAGTATATTCTTTGTTATTATTTTTTGTTTCGTTTTAATCGTATCTAGTTTTATAAAATTTATGATTTATATATCACGTGCCATTAAAAAGTTTGTTACCAAAAAAAATCGTACGTAATATACCGTGTGTCGCAAAAAGTCTGCACCACATATGAACAAACTTTTTTATCGTTAATTACTTAGAAAATTTAATTCATTTGATAAAATTTGGTGCATTATCTAAAATGTAATAATTTTGTAAAGATTAATTATCAATTCATAAATAAAATTAATCACAAATATTTTAAAATATATACATCAACAGCAATTATTAAAATTAGTTTGCACATATTTGTTATTACATTTATATTTTACTATTGTTATAGCAGTGTCATAAAATGTTATTAAGAAATATAATTAGTTTTAAAGTTAGTTTTTTAAGGAGTACATAAAGAAAAGGCTTGGTATATGTAATAAATGGATCCACTGTCTTGTCTTATGTATATTATTGCATTATATGTACTCTCAATTGTAAATAGGTATTATTACACCCTGTATATCTTTAAACTTTTCTACTTAATCAAAACGTTTTCGTTTTCTAAAAAGTGCCTGTTGTAGTTCTTTAATAAATCAAATTACTTATCGACTATTCATTTAGATTTTAGACCAACTTGCCTTATAGTTAGGGAGCTGGTGCCTTTCACGTACGTATACATTCTAAATAAAAATATAAGAGGTGTAAGTAAAAATTTTACGCTTTTTTCAAGGTAATATTTTGACCAGCACAAGCAAATAATTTGTGGAAAAATCAGGGTAATGACTGAATAAATTTGCAAGTTTTAACATTCCATTTCAGGCATTTGCACTACCAATAAAATAAATATTTATGGCACCCCCTATATGTTTTATATGTAACGAGTAACAAAATTTTTGATACTAAAAGAAAAATATAACTTAAGAAAATACATTATCATTTTTATATATTGAAACACATCTAAATGCGATATATTTATGTAATATTCTAAAGCTGACTTAAATATAAACCTCTTTTTAATTTAGGTCATTTTAATCAGGGAATACTTAGGTACAATAATTAAGTCATTTCTCATTTTTTCAGTAGGTTTATGTTAGCTTTAAGCTGCAAACGGCTGTACATAAATATTAATTAGAGTTAGATTGATAATATAGTATGTAATATTGTGTTGATTTTAATAAAAATTCACTACAAAATATACGTTTTATTTATTTCTGAGTATCTAGATATTATAAACAGCTTTTAACATCATGAAAATACGTTCAACAATACTGGTCCCTGAACTGTCTCTGTACTTTGTACACTTAGGGTGAGATTACAGAACGTCTGCAACTTTGCAGATCTGCAACTTTGCAGATCTGCAAATATGGCGGACTTACAAATGCAAGTATTCCAAAAAATATCTGCAAATTCGCAATATTTATTGTGGTTTATTACCCCCAACAACACTAAACCCAAATTTGGAATACGAAAATGTGATACTTGCATGTGTAAGTCAGTCATATTTGCAGATTTTCAAAGTTGCCGCCATATTTGCAGATCTGCAAAGTTGCAGACCTTCTGTAATCTCACCCTTAATCGATAACAAATAATGTATTTGGTATTTGATTTGTTGCACCGTGTCACACTCGACTCTGTATTCGAACTGTCATACTTGTCAAAAGTAGGTCTTTTCCTTTGCATTGAAAGTGTAGCACTGGGCTACACCAATTCTGAAAATATCGTTCCATATATACAAATTGTATGGATGGAAAGATATTTTCAGAAGTGACGTAGCTCAGTGCTACACTTTCGATGTAAAGGAAAAGTCCTAGTATATGCTACACCTTTAGGCGAGTTCGGATAGTCAGGGGCTGGAGCGAGACAAAAGCGGAGTTTTTAGGGTGCTTTTAAATGACATTTAAGCGTGTTAAACTGTCACTAATCGGACTAAACCGAACGCTAAAAGGGTCGTTTGGAGTAAAAAGTGTTAAAGAAGTTAAAGGAACTTGGCAGACCGAACGCAATGTATGAATATCAAAGTGCTACACTAGGCGAGTTCGGATAGTCAGGGGCTGGAGCGGGACAAAGCGGAGTTTTTTAGGGTGCTTTTAAATGACATTTAAGCGTGTTAAACTGTCACTAATCGGACTAAACCGAACGCTAAAAAGGTCGTTTGGAGTAAAAACTGTTAAAGGAACTTGGCAGACCGAACGCAATGACTCAGGTATGTGTCAAATATTTGAAGCTACACTGAACAAATAAAATGCTATTAGTGCAGAAAACTTACACCTAGTGCAACAAATAAAATCCACTAAAAGATATCTCACAGATGAAATACGTCATGGGCGTGATGCACCCTGATTGGTCGAAATAGACATCGCGTTAGAACTTCCAAGTCATCTTTTCCATTTCACATCGCCCACTACCACAAAACTCTGCAACGTCGACAGTCAACAAAACGCGCTTGTTTCGTTTTGTCGAAAAAAAAAGCCTAGCACCACCATTATTATAAAAATGCATACCCCATAAAAAGAAGGCTTAGAAACAAAAGTGTACATTCTGTAAAAGTATATACAGTTTTTGATGTTTTCTATGTAAATCCAATGTCATTAATTAAAAATAAAATGGCGTTTTTAAATTCAATTGTGTGTGTCCCATAAAGCACACATTATTTCAGAAGTGTTTCAGAAATATTTCAAACGTTTCAAACGTACAACATTTCAATTACAAGTTTCTGAAATATTTTAGCAAAGTATTTAACTGAAAATGTTTCTGAAACATGGTATAAATAATACACTAAAGGTTACTAAACTGGTTATGTTGTAAAAGGCCAACACTTAATGCAGAATTTCCGATTGGTAAGAAGAGGAGGAAGAAGAATAAGATGGATTATGTAGTCATTTTATTTCATCCTTATTTCCAGTCAGAGACAACCCTACATTCTAAATAATTAGAGGTTTGCGTCTGTTGTCGGTTTTTTTGCCATTTGCTATTTTTGTTATGCGTTGTACTGTTATATGAGAAGCAGATTCTGTCTAAATATTTTAGAAACGTTTCTACAACGTTTCATAATATTTCTGAAACATTTCAAAATTTTATTTCAGAAATATATTTACAGGACATTTTTAAGTTTCATTCAAATTTCAGAAATGTTTCTGGAATCTTTCGTAATATTTATACAATATTACAAATGTTTCAATGTAACATTTTTGAAATATTTCCGCACCAGACCCTTATGGAACGATCACATTCATTAAACATTTTTCTTTTATATAATCAAACCACTGTAGTTGATGGGTGAAGCCTGTAAGCCGGTGTAGATCCCTACAGCCATATTGCAATTAAATTTTGAGATTTGTGCGTGTAGGTGTCATTATATTGTGTTTCTGATTATACTATACTAATTTTTCATTAAAAATTTTAATAGTAAAAAAATATGGCAAAGAAAAAATAGGTGTAGATCCGAAAACTGAAAAATACAATTTTTGTAAATATGAAAATATAATCCCCATTTTAATCGTACAAAATTAAGAAATCTTCCCCACATCTCCAAAATTTAAACAAACAAAAGAAAAATTAAATAAGCTGGGAAATACAGAAGGAAAAAAATGGATACACATGCGCCAACGATCGAACCTGGAATCTTCGACTTAGGGTCTTCTGCTCCTCTAGCAATTGGATCACCGAGACACATAGCTACGACAGTCGTATTTGTAGATTTGAAGTAATCAGATTCCGACTATCACTAACTCTCTAATACAACCTGCGCTTGACGTCCTATATACGATTTACAAAAAAGAAAAACAAAAATTCCTCTCTAGAATCTTTGGTTCATTTTGAAATATCCAAAAAGTTTTCAGTTATCTATGCTAAAAAGATGGATACTTAATGAAAAATATTTAACGCCTAGGTACCAAAAGTAATAATTATTAAAAATAGTAGCTCTCGTCTCGCCTACCGCCTATCTTCCTGCCGTTACACCTCTACCGGTAGTGGGATAGCAAGTGTGCTTTATTTCCATCTGTTCTATACCTCTATCAATAGCATCGGATTTCTATACCGTTCTCTGGAGAGAGGTTTAAAAAGATAACCTATTGCATATAAAAATACATAATAGTATGTTTATAAAAAAGAGGGAGCGAGAAGTGAGGTTAGATGAATAGGGTGAAATTAAACCTCACATTTTATTAGCCTTGTTAGCAAAACAAAAAAAAACAAAAAAGAAAAAACAAAAAAAAAAGAACAAAAACATAAAAAACAAATAAAAACAGTTCGAATAATGGTTCAATCGTTGGGTTTAGAATAAAAATGTTATCTGTAATAATTGCGTTCATCTTTTCTTTAAACATTGAGAACAAGACGTGAAATATAATCGAAAGATCAAACGAACTTCCCTGAAGTGCAGTTCGATCTCAATTATATGATCAATTAGATGATCGAACCCACCCACACACCTATACCCAAGATCATCTCTACAAGATTCAAACACAATTACCGCTTTGAAAGAATGAACGTGTATCTGAGTACCACGGAATGAGAGCAGAGATGGGAAGGACAGGCACGACCAGTTGTTATTTTAGAACTTTCTAAATACTTTTGAGAGTATGTAGACGTTAAAATACGTGGCCACAGAGCAGGGGAATGGAGGTACACCTTTGATCATCTCGAACAAAGCATTTTATATAATTGAGATTGAACTTCACTTCAGTTAGGTTCGTTTGATCTTTTAATAAAATTTTACTTTTCGCAAATAACATACTCGAAAGTGTAATTGGCTCGCCTACCAATAGTATCAAATGCAAAAACAAAATGACATTGTAGGAAACATAACAACAATCAATTTTGATAATTTTAAGCGGAATTAGAATTTGCGCATGGTCTATTTTAAATTTTTCATTAGTTTAATATACTACTGTAACGTATATTCCAATAAATAAATAAAATATTGCGATAGGCTGTGATAAATTCGTTATGGTAAGATATTTCTCATTGGTTTAATGCCTCAATTAACCTGAATATAGACACGCAATACCACATGTGGTAATTTCAAAAGTTATATGTCAGATATTTGACTTTTGATTCTTTTATATTAAGTTTTTTATCAATCCGCCAAAATGATGATGAAAGCCACACCACTGGAAATCGACGAAAGAGAGAAGGTTTTTCAGCCCAAAATAGCATATTCTAACCCCATTGTACACGTGGGTAAGCAATTTCTATTTATTGCTCGTCAAATTTTAAGTTATAAAAAAATAATAGGGGAATGAAAGTACTATTAAAAAATGTACTATCTTTATTTCATTTACTATCAGGCTTTATGTTTTCAAGGAAGCCATCTTGGTCCTATTCAGTACATGGTTTATAGAATTTATAACTCAACTAATATAAATACTACGCCGTATTCTCAAAGATACAAATTATCAAGTACTATATAAAAGTGTCGTAAGATCAATTAAATTTCATATTTTTTCTACGATCAATTAAAGAAAAACTACTTTCGTTTTGGGGCGTATGTCCAATAACTACTGATGCCCGGTTCTAGAGCATCAACAATTTAAAATTATTTTTTTAACTTTTAATACAAACTGAAAGTTGCCTTTACTTATAGTAAACTATTTCCTAAAATTTCAGCTAAAAATAAATATGTCTTTAGCCATCTACCTTTTATCAAATTGAAAATAAAATACATAATATTCTAGTAAAAAACATAAAACAAATGCACCTATTTACAAGTGCCTGGCATCAAACTTTTACATTAATAAACAAATCCAGAAAATCCTAAATATAATATCACGAAACTCTTCAAACTTGTTCAATCCAGTTAAGACCAGTTTATGATCGTTTATGCACGGCGAATTGTGTAGCTCTAGTTGAACTCAAGACATTTTTTGATTGTCGCGGAAGTAAGATCTTTGTTTTAAGTTGTAATGAGTTTGTCAGTGAAGGACACTAGGGGCAGGAGGGGAACTACTAATTGTCCTATATTTGGTGCACCAGCGAATATACCCTCTAATGGTTTTCCAACTGGAAAATATCATGAAGCGATGTTTGCTTATTCGAAATGAACTCAAGGCTATGAAAAATCGCACAATTAATTCGAGATATCCTGGGTGAGTACCAATCCCTTATTACTATCAAGGCGTATGCAAATCAGCTTCCTTTTAAGTATGAAGTAGAGTAAGTAGACAATGACAACATTGAAAACTTTGAGCGAGACAGTATTTCTTATTCATCTGAGTCGAAGATGTCAGTAGAGCATGATAATTTAACAGAAAAACAAGAAGCTAAGTCGGAGCTTCCATCAACATCAGGTTGCAGTACAAGCCAACAAATGAAATTGCCTATTCCCAACCTAGCTCATATTTCTAACCATTTTGGCATTTCGGACTGTTCTGCAGCAGCGCTTGCATCTGCGGTTTTACAGGATTTGGGACTTATTTCGAAAGAAACATCGTCTTCAATTATTTACCCGAAGAGCTCGTTAAAAACACCGTTTTGATTTAAAAAGCGAATTCCAAACATCCACTCCGGAGATTAGAGCATTATACTTCGATGGAAGAAAGATAAAACGATGTGCCAGGAAGAAATTAGAAACAAATTTCATCGCAAAATAAAAATCGAAGAACCAGGTTCAAAATATATTGGTCACATTACACCAACAACAGGTATGGGGGAAAACATATTGCCATATTTATAGTTAATTTTCTAGAAGCATTTGACATCAGTACAAATAAGCTTTTAGTAGTAGGCTGCGATGGTACAGCGGTTAATACAGGAAGGAAGAATGGAGTTTTGCGGCATTTAGAAACATTACTGAAACATCATCTGCAGTGGATGATATGTCTGCCTCTTCGTCATATTTTTCAATATCTTGACGGAGAAATTTCAGGAGCTCGTGTATACTCTGGAGCTATAGGAAAAATGTTGGAGAGTCTTGCGAGAAATTGCCCGTTGTAAATTTTGATCCTATTGTTAGCCCTTTACCAGAATTAGACGCTGCAGCTGCACTGATCAAAAGTACTTAATATATTAAATGTCACTCAATTTCTAGAGGAAACTGTTCATTAGATCTAGCAGCTCGAAGTCCAGGTAAATTATCACACGCACGATTGCTTACAAAGGCAAACCGACCGTATATTGCGTCTTTATGTCGGACGTAAATGCCCGTCTACAAATTTAAGAACAATCGCTGAATTTGTGGTAAAAGTTTATGAGCCAGTGTGGTTTGACATTAAAAGAAAACCATCGTGTAGTGATGGAGGAAGACACGTCTTCAGAATGATACAGTTGTCACGCTATTTGAACAACGAATTGAAGGCAGTCATCGATCCTGTTATCAAATGAAATTGCGTATTTTTGTCATCCGGAGAACCTTCTTCTAGCAATGTTTTCTGATAATGGTCCTGCTATAAGTAAACTTGGCTTACGAAGAATATTGAAGGCGCGCACAAACATATCTACAGACGTATGGGAATTTGGTATTCCTGAATTAGATTTATTGGATGCCAGTGAATATTATGAGCTTATTGATTGGCAACATTCCTCAGTTATAGCATCACCTCTTTTAAGTACTGTAACTGATGGAGATATCAGTTGAGTTATAAACGATACAGGCACTTGTCCTGTACATTTTTTTTTCTTTTTCCTGCCATACACAGGCAGTACAGAGGTGCGTGAAGGTTATAACAGAAGCTTCTAATTCTGTTGTCGGCCATGACTCTAGAGATGGATTTATTCGTGCAAGGATTCATTCTAGAACCATACTACTTTGATTTAACACTAAGGCGGAATACAATGCATGAATTTCATATACCTATTTTTTTTGTTTGCTCGTCTATGTTATATTGTTAAGTTGTACTCGCTTTCGTTTATAAACAAAACATATTTAAATTGTTCATTTTCATTTTTATTAAAATATTTGCAAAAGTGATACTATTTCATTTATTACTCCGTTTTATTAGATTATTCGGGAAAATAAGAAAATTGAAGTAGATGTGGGGCTAGATTTTAAAAATAAAATAAAAATAACTTGTTAATCATTCTTACATTTATCAACTTTTCCGCGCTATTAAGGTTCTAAAATAAAAAATATTTTCTTCCTGCTTCACTCCACCCTATTGAATAGGTACTAAAATCACATGCATAGCGGTCGCAGTGGCATAGCGTACCAAAGGACGAAGGGATCGAAGATTTTTTGGGGCGCCCAAACCTCTGTGGGGGCACCAAAAGGTCATCATTGCACCAATGATGCAAATACAGACTAGCTTTTCCACTAAAGAATGTTACCCCATAGCCTCGTAAGCCTCTCTATCACTGTTATACATCATTGCAGTAATCGAGTTGCATCACGGTTACATCAATATTACTGTATACCATCAAGGCTTCTTGTGACCTTATTTATTACTCTTGTCTAATCCGTAGTAGTACAGTTAGGCATACATACTTGACATCTTGTTTCCATTCTGTCTATTATTCCGGCATTTTGGATTGCTGCCAAATATAACACATCGTTAAATACCGCCTATATGATGAATGACTAATTAACTGTCTCAAAATTCAAAATAAAATAGTTGGTGATCTAAAAGTTATTTCCCATTTTTACTTAAAGAAAACAACAAACTTCATCAAGCAGTTATTCAGTGCGATATATCTACGTACAAAAATGTAATGTTTCAGGGAAAATTCCACACCTGTAATTTTGAACCAATCAAAATACGTGTTTTTGACAGATCACCATGGCAACGGAGGTATTTTAGTGGACATTTTTTCTCGTGGGGTACCCAACAGCGAATTATACTGGAAATTTTTTGACGTTTACAATAACAGACCATTTTTGACAGACTGGTTTTTATTTGTTCACATAATAGGTTTAGTTTTGATACATTTTAGTTACAATGCTAAGGTGTTTTCTATATTCTTCGGCCACTTCTTTTCTTCTTAATGGCGAAAATGCAGGACTTTGGATGCTTTGAATTATGTGTCTATGTCTAATAAAATATATATAATATTTAGACACTAATTTATTCACCTTTTTCCCATTCATCACTTTGAATTTTGCGTAGTTTAGGTGCAAATATTCGTGGACAATTCGGAACAAATTTTCGTTTTTCAAGTTGGAGCCACAATCCTCTATTAATCCGAGTAAGTAAGTCATGGTGCAATGATTGATCATTACATCAGACAATTTCACGCATATTTTGCATAGCGTATGATTTTTAAATCGATTCATTTTTAAACAAATAGGTAATTTTGTTGGTTTTACTTGCTGTGCAATATTCTTTATCGCAACAAAACGCGAGTTATTTAATGTTTTGAAGTGTCAAAATACAATGATCACAGCCTCCTACGATTGATGCTTGCTGACGCTGGTTATGAATTTCATACCATTTTAAAGCGCTCATAACGCATGTTAATAAAAACGCAGAAAAACAATTTTCTACCACTTGTAGTTATTCAAAACTTACGTAAAATTAAAGAATATACTATTTTCTATTTTCAAATGGTATTCCCATGCAACTACAATGAGTAGAAATAAGCAATTTGAAGGCCTAAATAATTGCAGCGAAACATTTTTTTACGTCGGGCCGCTTGACAACTTCAAAACTGAAATTATATTCGAGGTTAGGGTCTCACTTAGTTGCCATGACAACTCAACAATCAAGGCGACAACACCTTTTATGTTTCACTGGTGACTTGGAGAAAATAATTTGCATTGTTGAGAAACGAAAAATAAATTTTAAAAATATTTAATTTTCAACCATAATTCGGCGTGGAATTTTCTTACCGAATACCACGCGAGGTCAAATTAATATCAGGAAACTAGTGGTATTACTAGTGAAAACTCTTATTCGGCTATTATTATTGTGGTTGCCATATTGTGGTTACCATCATTCGTCCAGAATTTGTAAATCGTCTATCTTTGTGTCCAACTAAAAGACTGTCCAAAAACCATTGAATATTGTATTAATTATCACAATTATAATAAAACAACTAATAGCCCTGTTTCATCCAATCATACTGCACTTAATATAGAATGTCAAGTTTACAAATTAACTCTTTTTAATTTAAATCAAACATCCTTTCCAATATGTAACCATCACAGGAGGTACATAACGACTCAAAATCACCAAATTCAAATTCTGTTACTATTTGGTTTTAGAACAAGAAAAATACAGGTACTCTTTCCATGTGACGTCACCTGATCAATTGTCTTTCTGAAGCTTTCAAATATTTCTTTAGCTTTGTTCGGCTTACCTTTGAGGACGATTTCAAATCGTTATAATCATGCGCATTTAAATTTACGTGTTCGGGTTTGTCCAAATCTAGTTCTAGAACACTCTAGGATTGACTGTTTCGTGTTTTGGTTTTTTCAATAACTGCCATTAACAGTCGGAACAGTCCTAGAACCGTTCTCAATGATTTCCAAGAAAACTTGCGAACTGATGGGGACTGTGTTTGTAGGCATGTGCAGAGAGCCGTTTAACATAACCTGGTAGGAGTGTAAGGGGAGATTAGGTTTATTTTTGTTAGTTTGTTCTTGTCACATACTTTGATTTTCTTTTACTATACGGAGAATGGACGCACTGCGCAGCTTTCTGAATGCCTTTTAAAAGGAGATAGAAAACTCCGCCATTTTGAACCGTTATTACGTGTTGCCTACATCTTGGCGCAATATTTTTAATAGGTGCGTTTTAATCATCCGCTTCTGCTTCAGAATTGTCGGTTTTCTTGTTTTAATCTGACAGGTTAAAACGACTAAACCAACAATTCCGGAAGCAGAAGCGGATGATTAAAACGCACCTGATATTTTGCTTGCTGCTGTCAGTGTCAGTGAATATTATTTTTGGAGTCACAGTTTATTGCTAAAGAATCAGTTAGCTCACTCGGACCAGTTGAAAGTACCAAAATAACATCAACTCCAGGGATACAAATCCAGGATACGCAAAAGACTGCTGTTTTATTATAGGCGGTTGTCATATATTGTATTATCCGAGTTGTGCAGTGTATAAACTGGAACATTGACATCAAAAGTTGCCGACGCAGAGTGAGCGATCTGATTCTTTAGCTATAAACTGTGTCATAGGGTTCAAAATGGCCGCGCCCTATGTTGGGCGTGTTGGACCTCTCTCTTGCCCCGTATAGTAATCAAAGTATGTGGTTCTTGTTGTCGGTTGGCATTTAATCTAGGAAGATGCTATTGTCTAGTTTGTTTAATCAAAAAAGTAACTATCAGAGTCCCTTGTTGGTTGAATATTAAATTAAAATAGTGTTCGAGTTTAATGAATTCTAGGCGATTCTAAGACAGTACTAGAATCATAATATAGTGCGCAACTAATTTCACGGAGTTCTGAAACGTTTATAAAAATTGGCAAACCGAACATTTTGATTGGGCTAAAGAGTATAACGGTCTTGTATCTTGTCGGAAGTGATGCAAGCGCTATGCTTACGTCAGTGTTGCAGGTGTTATTCTTAGAATTGATTGTACAGGGGGTTAATTTTTGAAACCATTCGCTAAAAGTAGTATGCGTCAATTGGCATATGACATTTATCGCATGCGTCAAGGAAAGTATATTTTTGAATGCTCTTCGATAAATATTTTGCGAACAGATCAACCTAACGAAGAGTTGTAGATTATTTCAATAGAAACCTAATTTGAAACTGCTTTACCGAGATGGATTCATGTCATATGTTATTGCAAAACCTATTATGTCAATTCGCAAGTGACGTCAATTTCGCATGCGAAAACGAATCGAGTAAGTCAGTTTTGGTAAAAGTATTCGTTTTCGTATACGTCCGGGTGGCGAATGATATCAAAAATTAACCCCCTGTCATGTTGTATTAGTGGGATTTATTCCGAGCTATTTATGTACCAAGGATGCAAGAGTCAAATTTACAAGCCTTTACAAACGTCGAACAAAACCTGTTATCTGTTACAAACCTAGCAATTAGGTATTCCAAACGGTTGCCCGTAGGTAATGAGCAATTTATATAACTATATATGTCATTGACCCTGTCAATGACAAAAGGCCCACAGGGTTGCCATGTATAAACTGTCAGATCCCACCAATGAACTGGAATGGGGTAGAAAGCCAATGTGCATATTGTATCAATAAAACAAGATGTGACTCCATAGGCGCAGCCATTTTTATTTCTCATCTCACTCAGGAGTATTTATAATAACCACTTTCTATTTCACAGTGTTATTGTTCAATCCACAAGCTGGTGGATCAGACAATAACAAAGTGAAATAGAAAATGGTTGTTATAAATACTCCCGAGTGAGATGAAAAATAACCTGTCTTTGCCCATAAAGTCGCATCTCAAGCCTATTGACAAGCATTCTACCCCATTCCAGTTCATTGGATCCCACTAGCAGCATTTTGACAGGTCGTTGGAATGCCTAATACGAAAATATTATTTTTACCTCTTTTTCCCTAGGTTTTTGGTTCGACGAACAAGCAATCGTAGAGGACAATATAAATTCCACGGCGTACAGACGAGATAGATGCGAGCTGCTAATTCAAAAGACGAGAAAAATGTATAGGAACATTCTGAGACAGACCCTTCTAGCCATAGAGACGCCGTTCACTCTTTTTGGTGAAAAATACCAAATCAAGTCGCGTTATATCAAAAATAAAGACAACAAAACACTATGTCTGGCCGGCGTGGTGAACGAAAGGGACATTGAGAAAGTGCCTCATTTTCAACATGGCTGTTGCGTATCAGCGACATCTATGACAGATCCGTGCGTCAGGAATACCTTTAGGTAAGACTTATACAAAGGTAAAACCTTCGTAATTCATCAAATGGGATTTTATTTGGTAGAACGTTCATAGTATTCAGCGGATTTGACCCATAGTTACAACATAAATACAATATCCAGTTTTTGTTTAATTTAGAATAAAGGGAGCGTCTACAGAGAGAGATGGACAACAAGTTTTATTTGGTGATGACGTTTTGCTGCAAATCGTTGAAAGTGCTGGTCCCCCACTCTACATCCAATGTGAAAATCATACGATATCTACATTTGGCTTACATCTAGTTTGTAAGTTATCGCAGGATCCAGACATTTACTGCAGGTATGCAAAAAGTTAGGTATCTAACTACTATCTTTATATTTATTGACACTGGCTTAATTTTAAGGTTTAAGTTCTTGCATGGGAATCCCGCAATACGAAATAAGACGCTTGGAACGCCTTTCAGTCCTGACACCAAAGTCATAATTCAACATTCAGCATCTGGACAAAATCTGGCAGTGGAAAAGAAACGGTTGATACCAACATTTTTTGGACCAGAAATAGAGGTTATAATCTATTATTTTGGACACGTACATTGACCATATTTTTGTTAATATCATCAGTTATTTACTAATCGATTTTCTCCATCTCTATAGGTAACTTGTCACTCTTTCAAAGATTCGCACAAAATAGACACAAAGGAAAACTATTGGAAAATTGGTACCAGATTTATTTCGGACAACGCTTTGTATCTGAGAGCAGCTAAAGGGGAAGAACTGACTCAAAAAGAACTAGAAAAAATATAACCGAATCACAAAAACGGTAATTTTTGACAATAGACGAAAATAGAGGTGGGATGCAACGAAATTTTCGAACGGTTATTTCGGAACAGTATTAGGATTAAGAAATAATACGAATATGGGATATACCTAGTTAAATTTTGTTTATTGAAATAAAAATCTCTTTAATCTGCATAATCTTTTATTTTTACTTATTACGATAACAATTTTATAAAATAAGTTAAAATTATGTACAATTTTTTATTTGATATACACAACTAACACTTTTTTTCATCCTTTCGTACGCCGCTGCAATAAAAATCGCCTATAAATTGAGTAATACTTATTTTTGCAAAGCTCAATCAACCTCCATGTTGCAATATCTAGTGTTTTTGGTAAAATTGTCATCGATATCTTGAAAAATAATATATTTTATGTCTAGCTAGGTATGTAGGAAATATTTTCAATATTTGGTTTGATATAATGGTGCAAATTGCACAAAAATTCCGTAGTTTGGTTCAAAACATCATTTGGATTATAATAATGGATAAAATGTTGAAACCCTCCCAAAAATTGTCAAATTGCATTGAAAAGAAAACAAAAACCGTCGTTTGGTTCATAATTTTAGTTCTAAAAATTTCCTAAAATCCTTACTACACGTGTTTTCAAAGATTTTATAGTGTGGTCTTTAAAAAACATCATTTGGATCATAATAATGGATGAAATGTTGAAAACCTTCCAAAACACTTGAGTTAATTTATGGCGCGAAAAATATTATATTTTGCTATGTCCAGGTAAGTATGTAGAAAATCTTTTAAATATTTGGTTTGATATAATGGTGCAAATTGCACAAAAAACCCATAGTTAGGTTCAAAACATCATTTGGATCATAATATATAAAATGTTGAAACCACCCTAAACTCTTTATTATTAAATTCCAGTGAAAAGAAAAATCGTCATTTGGTTCATAATTTTTGTTCTAACATCTCCTAAAACTCCTTACTACACGTTTATTCAAAGATTTTATGTGGTCTTTAAAAAAACATCATTTGAATCATAATAATGGATGAAATGTTGCAAACCTTCCAAAACCTTTATATTTCAAAAATAAAATATTTGGTATGTCCAGGTATGTAGAAAATCTTTTTAATATTTGGTTTGATATAATGGTGCAAATTGCACAAAAAACTCGTAGTTAGGTTCAAAACATCATTTGGATCATAATAATATATAAAATGTTGAAAACCTCCCAAAACTCTTTGTCAAATTCCACTGAAAAGAAAACAAAAACTGTAGTTTGGTTCATAACTTTTGTTCTAAAAATCGTTACTACAAATGTATTCAAAGATTTTATGGTGTGGTGTTTAAAAAAACATCATTTGGATCATAATAGCGGATGAAAAGTTGAAAACCTTCCAAAACACTTTAAAGACCATTCGAGTTAACTTATGGCGCGAAAAGCTATTCTAAAATCATAATGTTAAAAATATCGTCTCAAATAACCAATATTTCATCTCTATGAAACAAAAAAGTTTTTAATAGATTTCAAACATCGTTTGGTTCATAATAGTCAAACTTTTATATGAAAACATCCTGGAACTTTAAATTTAAGTTCAATTTATGATGGATAAAAATAGATACCAATAAAAACGTAATCTGGTTCATAAGTATTGCTTAAACGGTTAATAAAGTTGAAAAATATCCTTAAACCACCGACTTTATTTATATTTTAAAACAAAAAACGTCGTTTGGTTTATAACTATTGTTGAAAAATGTAATAAACTAAATTGTACGTTAAAAACGTCGTTTGGTTCATAATTCTTGTTAAAATAATTTATTAATAATGTTACAAGAGAACCTGATAATCCTCTTATGTTATTCTAGTTTCTAATTGCCTTCAAATACCATCTGGTTCATAATAGTTATATGTAATAGATCATCCTGTATACGATGTCTTATAGCGGTATCCAGGGAAATAGATTAGATGGACGTGTGATGGGAATTGTCATTGTATTAAACTTGATCTAATAAAAATATTTATTCTGAGTATTATTTAGAAGATTTCTAAACAATTCCTTACATTATAAAATTTTTATATAAAAACGTCCTGCAACTTTAAATTTGAGTTCAATTCATGATGCAAAAAATGGATACCAACCAAAAACGTAATTTGGTTCATAATTCTTGTTTAAACGGTTAATAATGCTGCAAAATATCCCAAAACCACTAAGTTTATTTTATGGAACAAAAAATATTTCAAAACAACAAAAAACGTCGTTTGGTTCATAACTATAACTGAGCAATTAAATAAATTATTTCGTACGTTAAAACGTCGTTTGGTACAAGAGAACATGATAATCCACTTATATTCCTTCCAGTTAATTTTATAGAATAAAAAACACATTCGCATATTAAAAATATCGTTTGGATCATACGACTTTCTGAAATAGTTAATGTTAAAACAATCGTCTGGAATAACCAATATTTTAACTTTATGAAGCAAAAAGTTTTTAATAGATTTCAAACATCGTTTGGTTCATAATAGTTAAACATTTTTATATGAAAACGTCCTGGAACTTGAAATTTGAGTTCAATTTATGATGCACAAAATAGATAGCAAATAAAAACGTAATTTGGTCCATAATTATTGTTGAAAAATATCCTAAAACCACTGATTCTATTTTATAAAACAAAAAACATTTTTAAATAACCAAAGAGTCGTTTGGTTCATAAGTAGTGCAGAAAAGTAAATACATTATTTCGTACGTTAAAAACATTGTTTGGTTCATAACTAGATTAAAATAAAATATATTTTTTTCAAGATCCGATCGATTAAATTTTAACCAAAACACTTTCTATACAAGATATCCCAAATAATTAACAAGTCCCATTACCGAAGTTATTTCTAATGAATTATAATTTTACGTAAAAAAAATTAAATGGCCTTTATCGAAACGGATATGCAATAAAATGGGACATCGAGTATATCGTAATTTCAGACTCACACAGCCACCATACACCAAAAACAAATACAAAAAAATAAAAACTATAAAACAACAAGCTTGTTAATATGAATATTTATACTCTTTTTTTGGAAAATAAAATTTACATTTTTTACAGAAGAAAAAAATATCACAACTTTAAAAACAGAACACAACAGTACGACTCGCTTTTGTTTGTAAATTCTACACTCTTAGGAACTGACGTGTCTAAATACACCATGGTATATAAATTAACTTTGCACAGGACGTTTGTAGAATAACTTTTAATCCTGTAACCGATAAATTTTTGTAAAAAAACGAAACAACCAAGAAAATAATCCGTCAAGGTCATTCTACCTAGTCCAGATATCATCCATGGCACTATCTGAGAGATATTTTTCGGGCAGTACCTTTAGCGTTTTCATCGTCTCGAGGTAGAATATGATTTCGGTGGTGACGACGCCGTGCTGAGGCCCCCCGTTGTTTTGAATATTCATTTTGGTCAACTGGTCCCTGATGCGGTTTTTGAAGTTTTTATGAAGCACCTCGTATATGTCAGTCACCTATGATTTAGTAAAAATAAGAAAAACCAACAGAAAATCGCTCAACTAGAGCAATAGTGGCACAACTAAAAACTCGAAAATCATAGATAAATTTAGTATCAAACGATAAATTTAATAGCTTTTCTTCGAGCAAAACTGACACAATTTTAGTTAGAATATCGCTCATCGGCGATAATAGCGGCTCAACTAAAAAAAAATCAAAAAAAATATTTGCATTCTAATTGAAATTGATTAAAGTTTCATCTAACGAAACTGGCTTAAAATTAGTTGAGACAATCTTCCCGAAATGGCGAATGTGTCACTATGGTATAACTATTCTGTCCACATAATTCATCAACAACGGCATATGTTTAATATACCTCTGACAATAGATAAATACCAATGGATGTGGTAGATTCGAGTCGTCGTGTGTGGGTAATAGTGGCATACTTCGAGTTATGTCACTATATACTCTCCGTTTTCGATAAATTTAGTTAAATGTGCCAGTATAGTATACAGCTGTGTTCTTATATAAACTGTGATACTTGGATTCCACTATAGTGGCATATCTTTTTAATATATTTATTAAAAATTCAAAATTAACCCAGTAGGCTACAAAAATTTAGTACATAAAACTCACTGTGATCATTATATTTTATTCAAATGAATTTAACACATGAAAATTAAAAAATTAAAATAACCTAAAACTTTAATACTGATTTTCTCCATAACCTTTATTTAAGAGTTGCGCCACTATCGTCGCCAGTGAGCAAAATTGCGAATGTATCACTAAAGCACTAAGTATAATAACATTTGTATTTAGGCTGCACCATTAGTGAAACATAATCAGTAAGTCATTTACTATGTTAGGGAAGGTTTCGTTATGGGCAAAAGTGACACATTTGAGTTGTGTGAATTAATTGAGTATAAGTGCCAAAAAATAGTGACAAATTTTTAAATATACCAGTATAGACTACATTTTAAGTGTTTGATTTAGTATGTAAGTGTCGAACAATAGTGGCACATTTTTAAATATGCCAGTATAGACTTAACATTTTAAGTGTTTGATTTAGTATTCAAGGGCCGAAAAATGGTGGACATTTTTAATTATGCCAATATAAACTTTACATTTTAAGTGTTTGATTTAGTATTTAAGTGTCGAAATATAGTGGCACATTTTTAAATATGTCAGTATAGACTAAATTTTTAGTGTTTGATTTAGTATTGAAGTGTCGAAAAATAGATGCACATTTTTAAATACGACAGTATATTTACATTTTAAGTGTTTGATTTAGTATTCAAGTGCCGAAAAATAGTGGACATTTTCAAATATGCCAATATAGAGTTTACAATTTAAGTGTTTGATTTAGTATTTAAGTGTCGAAAAATAATGGCACATTTTTAAATATGCCAGTATAGACTTTACATTTTAAGTGTTTGATTTAGTATTCAAGTGCAGAAAAATGGTGGACATTTTCAAATATGCCAATATAGACTTTACATTTTAAATGTTTGATTTAGTATTTAAGTGTTAAACATAGTGGTACATATTTAAATATGCCAGTATATACTTTACATTTTAAGTGTCTGATTTAGTATTCAAGTGCCGAAAAATAGAGGACATTTTTAAATATGCCAATATAGACTTTAAATTTTAAATGTTTCATTTAGTATTTAAGCGTCGAAAAATAGTGGCTCATTTTTGAAAATGACAGTATATTTACATTTTAAGTGTTTAATTTAGTATTCAAATGCCAAAAAATAGTGGTTCGATTTAGTATTTAACTGTCGAAAAATAGCGGCACATTTTAAAATATGCCAGTATAGAATATAGATTTTATATATTAAGAGTTTCATTTACTATTAAAGTGCCAAAAACAAAGGTACATTTTTAATTATGTTAGTACAGACTTTAAATTTTTAAGAGTGTTTGATTTAGTATTCAAGTGCCAAAAATATTGACACATTTTAATTATGTCGGTATAGACTTTACATTTTAAGTATTTGATTTAGTATTCAAGTGCTAAAAACTAAAGAAACATTTTTAAATATGCCAATATATACTATACATTTTTAAACATACCAGTCAGTATAGACTTTGCATTTAAAATTTTTGATTTAGTATTCATTTGCCATAAAATAGTGGAACATTTTTAAATATACCAGTATAGTCTTCATATTTTAAGTATTTGATTTAGTATCTAAGTTCTGAAAAAATATTTGCACACTTTTAAATATGCCAGTTTAGACTTTAAATTTTAAGTGTTTGATTTAGTATTCAAGTGCCGAAAAATTGTATACATTTTTAAATATACCAGTATAGTCTTCACATTTTAAATGTTTGATTTAGTATTCATGTGCCATAAAATAGTGGCATATTTTTAAATATGCCAGTATAGACTTTAAATGTTAAGTGTATGATTTAGTATTCAAGTGCCGAAAAATAGTGGCCCATTCTCAAATATGACAATGTTGCATTTTAAGTTTTCTTTTTTAATTCAAATGCAGAAAAATACTGACAATTTTAAAATATGCTAGTATAGACTTTACATTTTAAGTATTTGATGCCGAATAATAGTGGTACATTTTTAAATATGCCAGTATAAAGATTACTGTTTTATTTAGTATTTAAGTGCCGAAAAATAGTGGCACAAAAAGTCCCGAAAAATATCAGCCAATTTTTAAATATTCCAGCATAAAATTTACATCTTAAGTGTTTAAGAGTCTGATTTAGTATACAAATGCCGAAAAATAGTGGCACACTTTTAAATATGCCAGTACATACTTTATATTTTAAATCTTTAACTTAGTATTTAAGTGTCGAAAAATAGAGGTATATTTTTAAATATGCCAGTATAGGCTTTACATTTTAAGGGTTTGATTTAGTATTCAAGTCCCGAGAAATAGTGACACATTTTTAAATATGCCAGTATCGACTTTATATTTTAAATGTTCGAGTTCCGAAAATAGTGGCACGTTTTTAAATATGCCAGTATAGACTTTGCATTTCTAAGTATTTTTTTAATTGTGCCTATATTACTTTGAGCTTATTTCTGTACTAAGATTAGATAGAGAAAATCATGCGTTTTCTATAAAACTTATTTCATGCAAGTGATCAGAAGATACTAAAAGTTATCAATGAAAGGCCCACAAGAACATCATTAACTCTTGTAGCTTTGTCAGGATTTCAATTAAAGAAAGCATACCCAATTACAAAAACATACGACTTAATTTTTTTATTACAACCATTACCAAAAACCATGAAAATTTAAATTCCAGTTAAAAATAAAAATGTTATTCACAATTTGAAATTCTAGTGTAAATACGAAAATTGATGTACCAAATATAAAAGAAAAATGTTTATTTTCCTAATTTTGCATTTTTATAAATAAAATTCATAAATTAAAAAAAAACAAAAAACAAAACAAAAAAAAACAAAAAAACCAAAAGAAAAAAAATCAATCCAAATCAACGTTTATGAATTTATAATCTAAAAACTATAATCGACGTCAAATTCGATCAAACTAAAATCAACAAATTTTTTATACTCAATTTTTTTCAACATTATTTTTGAGAAGTGCCATTATTGCCATCGGTGAGCGAAATATACACAGATGTGCGACATAAATAATTAAATAGTTAACTGTAATACTCTAGAACAGTTCACCGCAAGTTGTTACCTGTTCTTGTGGCAGTACGGCGCTAACAGCTTCGTGCAACTTCGTCAAATGTCTCGAGATATTTCTAAATTGTTTACTCGGCACAGGAGGTTTGGCATCCCACTCGTTGAGCTGATCGCCCAACAGCGAGTTCATTATCGACAACACTTTGGTCTCCAATTGGCGAATGTGATGGCCTATATCTTTCTCAACGACATCGAAACTGTTCAGCGTATCGCTAGTCAGCGATCTAAAGTGCGCCCTAAGCAAAGGAATCATCCAAACTAAAAACTGTAACGATCTCGACGCCAGAGCTAGGTTTGTAGACGTTATCGTTTTTAAACCTATAAGCGAATAAAAATATCTCTGAATTCATTTTTATGAATATCATGGTGCAAATTATACTTTTTACTACAAAAGGCGACATTTGGTACATAACTGTTGGATAAAATTAATGCTTCGCTTTATTGAATTTACAATAATGAATGAGCATGAAATTAAACAAAAATACAATAAAAACTAAATTATTGTAATCATTTAACAAAGAAATTAGCTTGGCATAACCATATTTTCTCACTTTATTTAAGTCTTTTTTTTTCTTATCTCCAACATAGGATATTTTATAAATTATTTTACTTTAGGTAACTTTAATTAGAAATAACTTTTTTTTATATTTTGCGCACATGATGGGCCAATTTAAGATAAGTCCAGAAGTAGTAGTAAATTTTGCGGAGTAATTTATTAAAAACTAACAATTATGATACAAACGACGTTTATTCACTCGAAAACGCATCATTTGGAACATAACACCACGAATTTTACAAGATCATAACAAACCTGCCGTTCTCAGCGCGCCAGCTCCCAAGACCAGTTGACAGGACCTTGAGTTGAATGTTTTGAGCAGATCAGTCAAATTTTTTGCTACCACAGGAGCCAATAGTTGAAGATCGTACGAACAAACGCAATATTCGCTAACCAATCGAATGAGAATCAGCAAGGCCCCGATGGTGTAGTAGCTTTGGCTTCCGATTTTTATATATGGCGACGGTTTGATATCGTACCGGTTCGTTGTATAGTTGTCCTCGGTCGGTGAGGACGGTAAATATTTAACGGGTTCACCTAAATGAGATTTGCGAGTTAATTTAGTGAAAATTAATTATATATACAACTATCTAACCTGTTGCTAACTTATCAACCAAAATCTGTATCTCGGACGGCACCTCGGCCACTTTCCAGCTCTCAGCGTCCAGCAGCATTTGCAGCTTGTTCTTCCGCTGCGTATGGAACTTGTGGACGTAATTCCCGGCCTGTATCTTGAACGCGGCCTTTAGCGCGGCGCTCTGCCTTCCGCCGCACGATCTTTCGCACATTTCCGTGAATCCCTCGACGATGTTCGACAGTTCGGTGACTTGCGCCGCGGTTACGGTCTGTTTGTCGGACTGCGTGCTGACTAACGAGGCGATACGTTCGGTGCAATAATCGCACACCGAGGTGAGCAGTTCGCGCAGCTTCAGTTCTACGCGGTTATGTTCTTCGAGAGTGAGAAAGTTTTCGGTGGAAGGCGAGGCCAGGAGCGGAGATGAATTGGGCGGCGATAGACCGGCGCTGGCTGTTGCTGTGTCCTTGATGACGTCGTGAACCGCCCTTACTCGTTCGATTATTTTGGCTGTTGAGCGAAAACGGTTGTAGAAACTGAATTATTTAGAATCAATTATGAACTATAACACGGTTACTTACTTAAAGCTTCACTGGCAGATCTGATGACTTTCAACCAATGAGCAGCGTCCATCGTGGGCGCAATCTCTCCCGAACCCGTCAACTCGTTCAGTTCATCATCGGCGTCGGCCAAATGCTCGATCATCAGTTGCTTTAGCAGCGCTTGCGCGGCTGTGACGGCTTCCTAAATAAGGATTTCGATCATATATTCCGATAAAACGTATATTATTATGATTACGAGTGTGGATTCCTATTCTGTACCCCTAACCCCCTTACAGTAAAACTACAGTGGCATTATATTTTTGTATTGTTCGAAATAGTCTTCCTCTACACTAATGCATAGTCCATCGGTGCTCTAACATCTAAACAGCCTCCTGGAAAAATGTTTGTCTGGCCTCTGCAAACCACCTCTCTACAGCTTGCATCAGTTCATCATTACTGGAAAATTTTTTCTATGTAAGTTTTCTTTTAATTTGGGGAACACTCGGAGCGAGATCTAGCGAATATGGGGGTGCTCCTCTAATTAAAAGCCTGCTTGGCGTATAGCAGCCATGGCAATAGAGAGTTTTAGCAAATGTACGTAAGATTTCCGCTAACGTTACGTTAAACTTAGATTGTGACATTTCTCATAAACATTGAATGGGGTAGATTACAGTATATCCCTAAGGTAACGTTAGCGGATGTTTGCTAAAACTCTCTAATAGAATATGTATGTCTGGGAGCATTATCCCGATGGAACAGCATATTGTTCCTTAACTGTCCTCAGCATTTCTCTTCAAAAGCGTCTCGTAATTTAGAAATCAATTGTGCGTAATAGGTCCTTGTAATGCTCTCCCCCTTTTGCAAATATTCAGTCAGGATGATTCCTTTAGCATCCAAAACACAGACAGCAAAACCCTTCCAGCAGACTTTTAATTTGCGTGGAGGAGAACCGCGATGTTTCCACTCTTTACTTTGCGCTTTGGTCTCGGGATCATAGTGGTGCACCCATGGTAACATACCGACTAAGAAAGTTATCTTTGTTTGCTTGGTACATTCCTAAAAGTCGCTCTCCAGTCAACACCCGATTTCTTTTTTTGGTTAACATTCGAGACACCCATCTTGCACTCATCTTTTTCATATCTAATTCTTTATTCAGTATGTGGTATGATCTGATAAGCCAGTATATTCCACAATGTCCCTGATGCGTACTCGTCGGTCTTCCAGTACGATATTGTGTACCTTTTTAATGTTTTGTCTGTTGTTACCATTACGGGAGGACCACCAGCATGCTGGTTTCCACAGGATGTTCTTCCGCATTTAAAATCTCGACACCAGCGTTTGACTATGTCATAAGAAACTGCAGACCCCCCCTTTAGTTGCCACAATGTCTTCATGAATTAGAGTTGGCGTCATGCCTTTTTCTGGAGAATCCCGCCACACAGTTCAAGAATTAGCCACAGCACAACAGCGCTTTGAGATACAAAATTGATATTTTGTAGATATGATCTACAAAACTAACTGTCAAAAACCATAATAGAGCCACCACTTAGAAATAGGTCAGGGGCAAAGCACAGGGATCCACCATCGTATTAATAACGTACTTGTTTGTAAACCTCCAAAAACTGTAGATGATTCTGTCTGAGTAGTCCCGCCACTAAACTGACTAACCGTTCCGGTTCCAGGACACCGATCGATTCGAAATCCATAGGCCTATGTAGGTCGGCAGCGGCGTAACGTTCAAATTCGGTAGCCAGCATTTTGTCGATCAATTTTTGCATTTCTTTGAGCTGCGACGGGAGGTGCCTGAGGCTGGTTACCTGAAGTTTAATAGATACAAACCGTTTTGACTATTTTTAGTGTATAAATCGACAATCCCATCGAAGAAGGTTGTAACTCTCGATACGTCCATTTCAGATTCAGCCACATGCGTATTCAGTAAAATATGGGAAATACTTCAGTCCAAAAATGTATCTCAATTCGAAATGGTTAAAAGTTACATGCGCCATTTAGGGTGTTAAAAAGGGAGTAACACCTTTTTTACCTCCGTCAAACATTGTAGTTAGGAATGTAGCATATTATAAGATTGTAAAACAACTTTGCATATTTTAAAACATCAATAAAAAATATACGTCTTTCTTACTGTAACATTATCGTACCTTATTGCCTTATTCTATGAAGTGTTATGTTAATAGTAAAGGTTAAACCTCAATCAAACTTAACTTATTGCTCCTCTAAAATCACTACTATTAGGTTATAACCTTTTTCGATGGCGGTGTCGAAATGTCCAAACATCTACAACTTTTTATTTCGAAAGCGTGGAGATATAAGATTCATAACTAAAAATAGATTATAGAGATCTATATGATCACCCTTTTAAAACGTCTAAGGTATTATTTACGAGAATATACACTTACTTACCCCCGCTAATTCTTTAACCAAAACCTCCTGCGTGCCGGTAATCAATTCGAGCGCCCCCACGTAATCCGAACTGCTCAACAAGAGCTGCAACGTAGGCTGCGTTTGTAACACCGTCGCCATGAGTTTCAGTTTGTCCAACAAAGCGACGTAATTGGCTTTTCCTCTGGCCAATCCGATCAGTCTTAATGAGTCTCTCGCAAGGGTTTTGTCCACTCTCTGGACCTTGGACCGTAACGTTCGTACTTCCGTAAGTGCTACACCCATTTCTTCCATAATACTATCGTGCGAGGTCATGGCGTGGAAAAATGCCCCGGATTTTTGAGATACTTGCAGAGCTATTTGCTCTTCTACTATGTCTAGGTGATGACTGAGTTCATCTTGGAGTTCGTGCTCTGTTTTTTTGCTCTGAATAATAAAAGATGTCCGTAAATATTTGAGCTCTTCATGTTTATGTGTCGTATATTTCAAACCAAATTTTTTAATATGTATAGAAATTATTATGAATCATGTTATTGAGATACTGCACAAAATTTTTTAACTTGGTTAGTGGTTATTAGATTAAATTTGACAAAACAAACAAAAATAAAATTTCCAAGTATTTGTTTTCACTTTTGGGTTTCGGGGATGGTTTTGATAATTCATAAGGGCATACTACAGTGGCGGCTGGTGGATAAGTGCTGCAGAGCTCCCAAAAAAAATGCTAAATACATAATCTAACTTAAATATTATATATAACTGCGCGGCACTCCGCTACCCGCGCCCACGGTTAAAACAAACCGGTGATTTAAGTGGAGATTTCGCTGCAATTAGTCCAGCGCTGCGCGTATTACGTATGGTGTCGATTTTTTTAGAATTTTCTCGCGACTTTTGAGTTTACGGCGAGTTAAAGATAAAAACAATAATTTTAAGGGTACGTGTATTGTTTTTGTGTATTGCTGACAATTATCTGTGTACTATGGAAGTGGTCTTCAATGTAATTAACGTAAAGAAATTTTTTAAATATAGATACGAAGAAAAGATGGAATTACAAGTAAAAGGTAGGCCATTACCAGATATAATTATAGAAAAAACTGGTGTAAGTAGAGGAAAAAGTTGCACACGAAAATTTAATAGAGATATTTATTCAAAAAACGAATGGATCTGTGGATACAACAAAAAAATGCTCTGTACTGTTTTCCCGGTTTACTTTTTGGTGGCGATAAAGTTTGGACGGAAAAACACAAAAACTCTAAAAGCCATCTTCATAATGGCATACTACAGTGACGGCTGCTGGATAAGTGCTGCAGAGCTCCGAAAAAAAAAATGCTAAATACATAATCTAACTCAAATATTATATATAACCGCGCGGCACTCAACTACCCCCGCGCCCACGGTTAAAAGAAACCGGTGATGCGGTGATTTAAGTAGAGATTTCGCTGCAATTAGTCCAGCGCTGCGCGTAATACGTATGGTGTCGATTGTTTTCGAATTTTCTCGCGTCTTTTAAGTTTACAATAATTTTAAGGGTGCGTGTATTGTGTTTTTGTGTATTGCTGACAATTACCTGTTGCTAGAAACAACTAATATTATAGTTCAATTAGATTCTGCTTATTGGTTAAATATACAGAGATATAATGAAAATGTGTCAAAGAATAGGTATATTTTATCCAAAATTATTAATTGCATTAAGTTTTGTGGAGCTTTTTAACTGGCTCTTCAGGGACATGATGAGAGCGATTCCGGGATATTTTCTCGGCTGAATTAGATGCAACTCTAAGTGACCACCTAAAAAATTCTTCTGTATTTAAAGGCACCTCTAAAGAAATACAGAACGATCTGTTACAGTGTATGCTCGATGTCTGTCATGAACAAATAATTGAGGAAATTAATAATTCTCCATTTATGGCGATCATGGCTGACGAAACAACGGATGTTGCTGCAAAAACTCAAATGGTAGATATATTTAGATATGTTCGCAATGGTGAACCAACTGAACGTTTTTGGAACTACTTAATTCCTGAAAAACGATGTTTCTCAACAATAAATCGAATCAAAACGCTTCTCAGAAACTCAATGACAGAAGATCGTTTAACAGCTCTTTCCATGCTATCTATTGAAAAAAAGTTTACTTCCAAAATAGACAATTTTAATGAAAAAGTTATTCCAAAATTTGCGAACCAAAAAGAACGTAGGATAGACTTAATTTACAAAAAAAATAGACTGTAAATTCGCACTATCTGTATAAATTGTTCACGTCATTTTTTAAAACATTTTGTATTTTGCTTAAAGAAGTACAGTAAAATAGTGATGGTGATTCTTTTTTTTTGTGTGGCAATCGTTCCAGCAATCCATCATTCAGTAAGCACGATAAAATCGATGAGACTTTGACTAAGAAGACAACCCCCCATGAAAGGTAAGCTTTTTTGCAAAAATTTCAAAACACCTTAAAATTTATACCATAAGCCGCCACTGGCATACTAGATACAGACTTACCTACGGGACATGCGTTCACGTGAACGAAGACGTATCCGCCTATTCACTGCTAAGTCATCTAACCTAAACGTCATATACGAAAAGTCATCTAACCTAAGGACAAAGAGACGTTGAAAAAGTCTCTGGAGACTCGAAGACGAAGGGACGCCCAGCGAGGGGAGTATCCAAGATGGCGACCATCGTTTACGTGAAAGAGTATAGATTAAAGTTGAAGAAAAAAATCACGTGTAATGCCAAAAAGACCTAAGTCAATATCTTCGTCGCTATTGGTCCATTCAAACGAAAAAAACGGTACTGTTTAGGAGAAGTGACGTGGATTAATGTTAAAGAAAAAAATCATGCCTAGCGACAATATCAAAAGGACCTAAGTCCATATCTCTGCTATTATTGGATAAAATCAAACGGGAAAACGGCGTTGTGTTAGAAACGTAACAGATTAACGCTGAAGAGAAAAATCATGCGCAGTGACAATGCCAAAAGGACCCATTCAACAAAAAAATTATCAAATTTTACTTTAAAAAAATGTTTCAATAGGTATTAATAGTACTGGGATATTGTATTCACTTGTAAACTATTCCGGCCAGTGTTACTATCGCTTCACAATTTTTGAGATGGGATGCTCCATGGGTTGGGATGTAAGTTTGTTTATTAATGGCTGACATAATTTCTTAGATTGCGGTAAATAGGCAAAGATAAAATAGTTAAGTACCATTTTATCTTCTGTTTGTGAACCGATTTTCTTTCTTTTTTTTTTAATTTTTGTTTAGTAGCTATTGACAATAAAAAATATTTAGAATAGTCGTATTTTTTTCTCAATCTTCGATATATGAAATCCATTGATCTACAATAATTATGAATTATGATTGACTAATAAAATTAGCCTACAGCGAACATTAGTACCCTTTAATTTCGAACCGACATGAACAGTATTACATGGACGCATAGAGGATCGCGAAAAAAAATACTTCTCTTCATACCACCCCAAATTTCCCCCTCTTCCCTTGCTACGCCTAAATAGTAAGGGATAGAAAAAAAACTAGATGGATTGGACTTTGAGGCAAAACAAATTTCACCCCCTCCCATTCCCTACTCCCTTCCATATACATTTTTTTATATACAAATTAGAACCAAAAGTGGCAAACTTTAGGTTCTGGAGATTTTCAATCCACCCCCTCCCCTACTCCCTACACCCACGGTTGTATAGAGGACCAAAATGTAAGATCGAATCCGATTTTCGTTACTACCTCCCCCCTCCACAAAATAGTTGACAATTGATTTTATAACGGATATTAATCGGGACATCTGGAAGGGTATTTTATAGGGTGTAATTTTTATAATTTGAGGTATATTTCTTTTATTTATAATTAAAGAAGAAAACTCTTCCAATAAGAGTTGTTTGTCATGTCATTCTTTATATTTTTTGTCCTACACATGAGTTCTCTAAAACATACGATAAGGAGAAATTTGAAGAAAAGTGTAAAATATAAATTTTTCTGTATTTTGAAAAAGCAAGATAGACAACAAATAGCCCAAAAATATTTCGAAAAACTCGAAAACTGGTTAAATTACAGAAAACAATCGTTTTAAGTAATGATGCTAATATGTATACAAGTATTAGAAATTACAAATTTTAAAAAACCGACTTCAAAAACGTGCAGATGCCATCACAACATCTGGGACCACCCTTGAGGTACCCCCTTACTAATAAAAAAAATCATATAAATCGGACAAGGTGGTAAATCATTATCGCTAAACATACATAAAAAATGAAGAGTTTGAGGATTTTCTCATGGACCCAATTATTTGATTTTGACCAAATTTATATGGGACCACCCCTGAAGTATCCCCTTTCTAACAAAGAAAGAATCATTGAAATCGGACACCAGCATACATAAAAAAATATATTGCGACGAATTGAGAACCTCCGCCTTTTTTGAAGTCTGTTAAAAATAAGAGAAATTCATTATAAAATAGATTAAGTGTGGGAGGGGAGTAAAACATTTTTTTCATAATTTGGGATATTTTTAAATATTAAATTTTGTTGTACAGATAATTAAAAAATTAAAAAAAAAGAGTAGACCAACCATCCCTTTTTTACACCTTTTCTAGACTGTTAATAGGGTTGCCACCTTTTTGAAAAGTGAATAAAGGACTATGATGCTGATAAGGGCTCCGGTATACAAAAAGTCACTAAACTTCTAAAAAAAAAGTCTAAGAGTGTGTAACAAAAAAGTCGAAAAACGTCAAAAAAGTAAAAAAAAGTCCAAAAGTAAAAAAAAAGTCAAAAAAAGGAAAAAAAGTCAAAAAGTCAAAAAAATTCAAAAAGTAAAAAAAAAGTAAAAAGTCACAAAAGTAAAGAGTCAGAAAAGCCAAAAAAAGTAAAAAAAAGTCCTCGTCCTTCTACCGAGATTCAAAAAGCTCACTAAACTTCTAAACAAAAAAGTCTACGTGTGTAAGAAAAAAGTCGAAAAACGTCAAAAAAGTCAAAAAAAGTCAAAAAAAAAGTCAAAAAAAGTCAAAAGGGTCAAAAAAGTCAAAAAAAGAAAAGTCACAAAAGTAAAGAGTCAGAAAAGTCCAAAGTCAAAAAAGCAAAAAAAAAACCTCGTCCTTCTACTGAGATTCAAAAAAAGGCCACTTAAATTGGTATATATGATGTAGGTCAATGACTTCAAATAATGATTTTTGGTTTTCAGTTTTTAATGTTTGTAAACATTGTTGCCAGTTTTATAATATGTCTAAGATCTTCATAAAACAGTACAACTTTGTTTTAATTAAATTTTGATGATAAAATATTTTTTTTGCTTCTGAATCCATGTAATCAATTATAAAAAATTGTTAATATGATTTTGATATTTTCAGTCTTGAAAAACAATCATATAGTGTGCCTTGAAACTTTGTGTTACATTTAGTAATAAAATCTTTATTTGAGGAATATACTATATGTATATAATAAAATAATTCTTAAACAAAAGAAGTTATAGAAAATAATGATCACATTGAATAATATTCCTCTCTATCATATATGGTTCTAAATCAATTAGCAAGTCATGTATACCCCTTTTTAATAAGATAATACTTTATCAAGTATTTTATAACCTTTTTGTTATACCAGACAGTTTATTGTATAACTTTCTGCAGCTGGAAAACGACTCCATGTTCTATAACTATCAGAGGATGTACTGAACATACTACATTTATATTTCATATCAACGGTGTAGAGTGCAACCCTCATATATGTTCAAAATAGTAAATTTTACGTACAATGTAATGGATATGTGGTTTAGAATCACATTGCTGGAGGTCTCTGCTTATGAGACAGAGCTGCTACATTTAGTCATATGAGGTATTCATTAAAAACATAAAAAATGTATAAAAAAAGAGATAGGAGGCTTTTAAAAATAAACCCCTATTTTTAAAGAAAAACATTAAGCATTAATGAATGAATATGCTTAGTATGGTCTTTAATTTTATCTCGACAAATCTTTCTCATATTTAAACTTAGCATGTCTTATTCTTTTTTGCATTAAAAAAATGGTATAAATAGAACCCCATAATACCATAGAATATATTTAATTCTTGTTTCAAAATTTCCAAAGTTCCTACACCATTTTTAAACTGTCCCATTCCAAATATTTCCTAACAATTCTAATACCACCTATAACAGATCTGGTTTAGTTTTTTACATTCACAACATTTACAGAGGCAGTTCCATTTCAAAAGAGGCACACGTCATACCCTATTACATGGGACCTAAGCTTTCAAAAATAGAATAGAAATTATAGATACCTATACAAATATTAAATTATTTATTTTATAACAAAATGAAAGGTTATTGTCCCAATATGAATTTCAAATTTATAAAAAACAATACCTAGAAGAGATAAGACATACCTAATTAATTATTCTTAAGGAGATATTTTATATACCTTTAGGAATATGTACAACCACTTGTTTGTACTAAAATTTAAAAACCATCTAACTAAATTAGTAATTAGTTTAGATAATAATTTTCCATTATAATTCTCCAAGGTCTAAACATTATCTATAATACCTAACATATAACCTTTATTTTAAATTAGTGTAAATACTTTATAAAGGCTACTTATCTTTAACTTTAAGTAAAATATGTTCGATTGATAGATTCATCATGTTTATTGAATTTTACATACCTGAAACACCTCAGCAAATACTTTGGGATCATTAAGATTAAGATTTTGCCTTAAGTATATTTCTGGAATGCCATCAGTATTCACAGTATGAGTTTGAATTTTATTATGATTATCCTCGAATGTAATGTCCTTAAGTCTAGAATGTCTCTTGAACCTTTTGCCATACTTCCTGAGATACGCATCGAAATGCGCCCAGGTTATTTCTGGAAGAAAGGGGCTCTTCTCTATTGCAGTTTTTTCTACGAAGGCATCACCCCATGTCTTGGTGAAAAAATTTGATTGTTTACCCTTATTGGGATCTGTTAAAACTGCTGGCAAATGTTGAGAAGCACTGTATAAAGACCAACGGTCATCTTCACCGTTCATTCTTAGTCTTTTTTCGGTGTCACTACCTAATTTTGAACGTTTTTACTATCGGAGACATCTCGATAAATATTAACAATCCTTTCAGATGACGCGGTTGACAGGTATGTCATATGTTGACAATTCTGTCACTGTCATGTTAAAAAGTGTGATTTGTCACAATAGTCGGTATAGTAGAGTACTATAAAATCTGAAAATTTGCATTTTTCGTATAAAACAAGAAACAAAATTAAAATTATTTTACTTCTATTCAAATAAATTAGTATTTTAATAGTGTAATGATAAGATAAAAATGTCAAAACCGTTCATTTCATTGAAAACTTTTATCAAATTTGTATAAGTTTAGTGCTGCTATCTGTTAGAAAATGTCTTAATTTACAAAATTCTTTTTTTTTAGTACAGACGTCGCTAACTAAATTCACTAATTTTCTAAAAATATAATAACTATAAAAGTTTTGAAAATTTGGATCAATATACACTCAAAAAGCATTTAAAAGAAGAAAAAAAAACTAGTTGTTGACCTGTTTTAAGTCAAAATTTTAATAAAAACACTGACAATAAAGAAATCTATATTTGAAATTTTTTAAATTTTCAACTTGCTACTAGATGTCACAGTCTGTACAATAATCGAGTGATATTCTCGCTTGTTTTTTTTGAAGACTGAACGGTAATTCACCGAATGAATTAGACAAAGAGAGTAGCATTCTAAATTCAGTGTGCGGTCACTAACTTTCATAATATTATTTTTCCCGCACGTCAACATGGTCTATGTCTGTCCGATGTTTACTATAAATATATGTTTGTCCTTTTTTGCGCGGTGATATTCTCAAAATAGGGAAAATCTTACGCGAATATCTAGTTCAGATCAAATCGCGCGGCGGACAATACTGTCCCGATCGGGAATAATCAGAATTTCCGGTAAAAACCTATACCCAGTATTGAAAACCAGTATTTTTGCCAAAAGTATTATGTGTTGTCGGAAAAAACCTAGACAAATCCCGTGCCTGAGCCCTAAGAATGCTGTGGAAGCATAACTATGACATGACATTTGCGATATCTTACGAAATATTGTAGGTAAGCAGCAATTACAATACAGGTGTTTGTATTTTCGGGGGTTACTATCAATTCACGGCCAGCTAGATCCCTTAGGAATCGAATTTCATTCATGACATGCAAGGCCTGTTTGATTTTAATTACGAAATCAGAGAAATTACGGGGTTAATTCGTTATTTTTTGTATTATAATGATAACTGTAAAATATAATATTGAAATATGGGAACAAGGCCATGAAATAAAGTGAAATGACACCTCCGGAGAACCGCCTAAGCAGTTTTAACAATGCAAAATTGAAATGTTAAGTAACAGATTCGTTTTAGAAATGTTTCCGTCGTTTCCTTCTGTCAGTTTGTGCGGTTTAATTCAATGAGAAGGATTGCATATTGGATCATTAGTCTACTGACAAATTGGGCCGGGTTTTCGAATTATCAAGTCGGTATTGATTATATACGGTGCTCTCTCCTTGTCTGGTGCGTATCGGAACAAGAGAAAGGGGTGCGAACCACGTGGTTTGAAACAGTGGCGGAATGTGAGTTACCTAAATTGAAAATTATTTGAAATAAAATAAATAATTCACGAATCATATGTCATACAAAATAAAAAATAAGAGCGACCCATTTCTCTTCGTAAAACAACTAGGTATAATAGAATTAGCTATAGCAAGTGAATTTGACGCTTTTGTTAGGTAATTCCATTAGATAGATTGAGATGTCTATTTCTTGCTGATGAGTCCTAATAATAACGGAACCGGTCGAAGAATGACGTTTTTCTTAGTAAGCAAAATAAAAGGTAGATTGATTAAATTAAATTTAAGTCTCTGTTGTCTTCTCTTTGGATGTAATTTAGTGCCTGTTGCGGTATTAGCTAAATGAGAAGTTGTTTTCTGAAGGGAGACGATCCTCGTATTTTGTGTGATGTATTTATTTCATTTTAGGTCTTGGTCATATTTGACTTGGAATTATTTTCCTATTTAAGTATTACCGTTTGTTTTTATATATAATACCTGACTGGCCTCTCAAGTTCCCACTATTGTTAACATTTTTATTGCAGGAAATATTTTTTTACGATCTTAATTATCATTATCGTGTTCTAATTTTTACGTGCCCCCGTAAAAATTCAATAGGGTCACGTAGGGTGACTTTGGAGGCTTCATAATTCATAAATTCATAATGATAAATCATAAAGGTAAAGTCTAAAATACCTACCTACCAGCTTATGTGTACGTTTAAAGTTTAAACTATGACCCATACAGCACAAAATCATTTAGGAAATATTTCAAAAATGTTACATTGAAATATTTGTAATGTATAAATTATACGAAACTTCCCAGAAACATTTCTGAAATGTGCCTGAAATGTAAAAGTTTTCTGTAAATATTTCACCGTAATATTTCTAAAATAGAAATTTGAAATCATTCAGAAATATTACATAGTATAATTTCAGAAATGTATTCTAGTATTTTTTTCTTAAATATTATGAAACGTTGTAGAAACGTTTCTTAAATATTATTAGACAAAGAAAAATACTTTTAAAAATATACATGTTTATTTAATATACACAAAAGAGAAACATTGATTCTTAAACAAACAAACAAATAATTTTTAAACATTATTTGATAAAATATAATGGCGAATCTCTTCATTTCCACCAATTCTTTTAAATTCACAAATTATGGGTACTTAAAAAAGTATTTGATACAATTATTTGATTACCAATAGTTTTATTAATATTGTTTTAAATTAACTATAATATAACAAACAATACTCATGTCTAAATAAAATAAAATATGTGTGGCACTCGGAGACTGCCGCGGTAAAGCTATTGCATAGCATTTTTTATCAACTTATGCAATTATAATTATTTATTTATTTTATTTATGCAGTATTTTTTTTTCTTTGATATTAATTCAAGTTTTTTCTTTGATATTAATTCAAGTTATACTTTTTGAGCCTGGTGACCGATAAGAAAACAATTTTTTTTCTTTTATTGAATAAATAAGAAGTTAATATTGTTTAAAATATTTTTATTTTCTTACAATACATGTAGGTTATTCAGAAATTTTTATCATTGAAACTATAGGATTATGGTAACTGAAATAAGAAATATAAGTTTGAGACTTGATATTCTTTAAATATCAATGGTGGTCCCATATTTTGTTGTGGATTCTTGTGGATCATTATTCATTTTCAAATTCAATTTTTTCGAAATTGCGTCTAAAAGAGAGCAGTTAGCAGGTAGTCCACACGCATACGTCTAGTCGCACGCACACAAACACCGTGCACGGCTTTCAACGCCGCCCCGCTGTGCCGGTCGGAGTGGGGGGTGTTAGGTTTATTTTCGTTACGGTGTTACGGAATTTCTTCAGTCGGTCGCCGTACTCAAAGCCCGCGATAAAAGCTATGCAATAGCTTAACATGAAGCTCTGCTTTTCAGAGCTGTACAACTAATAAATAAAACTAGGTGGAGGAACAGCAAATGTAGGTTATATTTAGATAAAAATAAGACTAAAACTGCCTGTAACTTTGATAAACGAAACGGCGTGACTTGTCTCAGTGAATGAGATAAAGTAAATAAACCTAACCTAACTCTCTAAAGATATATTCTGCTAGTGCTTCCCATCTAACAGTTCAACGCATAAGTAACAGAAAATAAAAGCAAATGACAAAAACCGACAACACAAACCTCTATTTATTTAGAACATAGTGTTGTCGTCTCTGGCTGGACATAGGCAGTGTTGACAATACCGAAAAAACGATTAGCGCAAAACTCCAGCATAAAAAAGCGCAATTTTTGACTAAAAAGCGCAACTTTATTACCAAAATAAAAAAGCCAAAATATTGCCTCAAATATGATTTAAAAGCACAAAATTGATGATAAAGAGTTTATGGTAATTCGTAAGCAATCACTCTATATTTAATACGTTTTTGACATATAGTGTATTTGTCTGTTTTGAGTAACAAAATTCGTTATTTATAAGAGTAAAAAGGAAAAATATAAAAAATCATTACCAGTCGCCATTGCAGGTAAAAAATCGCAAAATAGTGAAGAGTGCAATAAAATCGGAATACAAAGACAAAAAGCACAATAGTTGCGCTTTTTGTGCCTAATTGGCAACACTGGGACATAGGATGAAATAAAATAACTACACAGCCCATTTTCTTTTTACAAATCAGAAATTCTGCATTAAGTGTTGGCCCTTTATAACATAATCAGTTCAGTAACCTTTTGTGTAACATTTATACCATGTTTCAGAAACATTTTCAGTGAAGCATTTAACTAAAATATTTCAGTAACTTTGTGCTTGAAATGTTATATGTTTGAAACGTTCGAAATATTTCTGAGATAATGTGTAGACAATGGGAGACGAGGGTTGCCAATAAAAGTATTTCTATATGACTCCAGTAAAGATTAGTTTTTGTGTTGAATTTTTGTTTATGGGTTTTCAAACTTCTTTTAGGTAGGTACCTACCTAATTAAATTTAGATAAAAGCGTCTTTTAAAAAAATGCCTGGATACCTACCCTTGAAAATATTTCAAATTAAAATCAAAATTACTTTGAGGTAGAGAAACTCAAGTTGTCTTTCAGGTCAATAACCAACTGCTAGATGATCGTGGACATTCAAAATACTGAAGTGACATTTTTATACATTTATATTTAATAGTTATTTATGCAACAAGTGCAAAAAGTATGTGTTTATTGCACGAGTTGAATACAATATTTTTTCTACGTTCATGCAAAAATCAAAAAATGTTTTATAGAACTGCAGTTGTATTATCCAAATCATATTAGCCGTGATCCTGTACCTTTGTTTGAGGCATTTATTTACGTTTGTGTTCATAATTTGTAATGACATTTTTAATAAAAATACATTTTTTTATTAATTTATTTATTAAATGATTGAAAATAATATAAAATATGCAATTGTTTTTAAAACGTAACACAGAAA